CAGCCTCCTAAGATCACAGCACCCTCCTCTCCGACAAACTGCCGGTTATCAACAACCGAGGAATTCATCAACATAAAACTCCCTTGCTAACGATCGAGGGAAATAAAATTATCGAGCCCGCGTTACATAAGCGATTAATTTTTACACCGGGTCCCGGGGGAATCTTAAATTCATCCAATAAATAAAATATCGCGAATCGAACATAATCTTAATTTCATAAATCTTTGTCGAGCCTACCGTTTTCTTTAAATAAAATGCAATCTTTCGAACTTGTGTTTCTATTACTTAAAAAAATTGATGAAATTAGAAATGTATACTCAGAGAAACAGCAGGATACAATATTTCTTGTTCATTTAGCCTACAATGTATGGAGATACGATTCGATAAAAACTTTTTTTTATATTGTACAGAATAATCGTTATTGAGGAAATATTAGTTTAGTGGATTATCCGTTTTATGAACTTTTTCATCGTGAGACACAAGTCATATTATCCAGCCAACCCATTCTCCCACCATCAGATTTCACAATAGTTGCACTAGGAGGAGTGGGGGAAAGCAACGAGTCCTCCTATTGTTCCGTTGCTTCTCCCACCACTTCGCGCGATACGAGGCCCTGCTTTCCCCCACTCCTCCAGCGAGCCTTAGTCCCAACTCTGCAGAGTATGCATAGTCGAGAAGAAAAGTAGGGGAAGAAGCCACAACTGGCTCACTATTTTTCTGTAAATATAGAATTACGCTAAAGCAAAATTGTCCAAGTTTATTTAACGCCAGATTTACGATGCTCTCTTACCGGGGGATTAAATAAATGAGAATCAATAATTCAAAGCAGCCATAGGTTCGTTCCCCTCCATTGCACTTTGCTCTTGAACGTTCGGTGTCCTCAATAATTCGACGTTGCTCCGCCTAACCCTTTTTAAACCTCCTCCCGGTAAGTTTGTTGACGCACTCAACTCGTTAATGAACCATAACTTTTTTAACGTCTGAAAAAAACGATGGAAAACGAGGGGACGACGAGGAAGAAACCTAGCAAGACCAACTTGACCCTCCCTCCCCCCCAACGGGTAAGCGGCTTAAAGCGCCCTAACAATTTCATGTAGGTATACGGATATAAATACGACGCATACTTTTGTCGAACTGGCCCCGGTAAGTTGAATTTATGAATCGTCTTTTCACGGCACCACCCTCGACCTGTCCTTCTTTACTTTTCTAACGCTTTAAACGACCGTAATCGCGGCGAACGCCCCGGGATCCGCGTCCTCGACAATCACAATTCAACGCATCGACACATTCGCGCTATTATGTACCATTACTTTTGCACAAGAATTTTCAAACAGCTGCCTCGACCATTATTTATTTATTTCTTAACTATAAGATAGTTATATTCACCTTTAATCCTTAGGAATAAACAAAAATAAGTAATATGTATCTTATATAAAGTTAAACAAATAAACAATATTATCCTGTTAATTTCTCATTTTGATTAGATTTCGTCGAGCATTTCATGTTAAAATTACAATATCTTCTAAACCAACGATCTCTCGCGATTAGTGGATCGATACTTTTATGTAGAGATCGACGAGCTGAATCGATTGGCGCGTTAAAAGTTTACGATTCCATTTACAACGTTAATTACGATTAAATACAAAGTATGGGCATTGATTTTAGAGTTAAATTTTGGTTGAAATTGTTAACTGTTCGATCGATTCCCACGTACGGCGTGGATTTCTCGTTGGGCGATGTTCGGTGTAGGATAGAATAGCACGGTCTGGGCGCATTTCGCAAGGGTCACGGGGAACGATCAGTCGAATAGCGTGCTCAGGAAGCACAACGGAGCACCGTAACTCACGTTTACGCCTGTAAAATGAACAGGCATACCGGCGTGTCACTTATTGCTAGCTAATATAAACATGACTCCGAGACACCCACGAGGATAAAGAAAGTATACACGCCGCTCGTAAATCACGGCCGTTTTACATTTTACTCGCGTTATGCCTTGTTACAGTACGGACCGTAGACCGCGTACGTTAAATAGCTGTTGATAATTGAGAGGATCGGGCCCGGGAAAAATTGTACGACACGACTTATCCCGGTCCTTTTCCTGGATATTCGATTCTACGGAACGTTTCGTAACGTCGCTGGGTCACACGATGAAAAACTACTGGCTCGAAGGAACATTTTTAAATAGCAAAAAAAGCAAGGCATGCTCGTATGTACTTCGATACGACGTACATTTCGCAACGTACGAAGAGTTTTACGACAAGCACGGGTCACGTGAATGTCCGTTAATATGTTGAAAGAAAAATTCTCAAGATGTGACGTCGAAGAAAATAAATTTACGACTCTTGAATTTTAACGATATGAAAGATCTAAAAGAAATCGTGGATTAAATTCGAGATGATTTGAACAATTTTTGAATTTAAACTGTGTTGAAAAATAAAGAGAATATATAAGAGAAAGATTAAATATATAAATCGATTTTATGGTTGGTAAATTAATTTTAGAATATGGTTGGTAGCTTCACGGGAATACTCTTCCACTTGGTCACGGTTAAAATTCTCGTGCTCGTCGTACGTATGTATGTTGGCGAACCGTGAACCGGTTGTTCGTCCCTTCGGCAGTCTCCTCAAGATTAATCCGTTTCGCGGAAGTGCAAATGGTCACCTTGTACACCTATTGTTCAGATTGTATGGTTATCTTCGCTGACCATCGTAATTCATTGTCACCTTACGGTTACTTTATTTTTCAGATAATTCTATGCCCGTGTACCTTTGTGCTTGCTCGTTATTGTGATCGGAAAATGCGTACGCGATCGTTCAACGTCGTCCACCGACGTGACGGTCACCGGTGACCGGCGCACAGTATTTCTTTACGATGCTTAAAACAAACCCAATGTTTCTACGTTTTAAAATTCGTGGACCAGCGTGTTATGCACGATTAAAAGAGAAGAATATCGACGTTTTAATTAACATTTAGAAGTTGTTAATTGTCGAAAAATGTACAGTTAGGGAGAAGGGAAGTGGCTGGTAGCGTCGCTTAAAAATACAGAGACGTTTTTACCTGCGAAATAGTAATGTTGCAAATAAGGGAAAGTAGAAGAAAAAAAAGAAAAAAAAAAAAAGAGGGAAGGGAAATAGGAGAGCAGACAAGCAACGACCGATAGAGGTTTCGAGGGTCTCTTCCTAGATTTTCGCAGGGATGCACTCGGCTCGAAGTGCAATCGTAATTAACCGCTTTTCAGTGTCTCTCTCGCATGAGAAATACGAGCTTGCATAAGTAAGTGGGCAAAAGGAACGTGTCAAGCTGGCTTTCCGAGCGAACGTTTCTCCCTCAATTTTGCTTTTAGTCCCTTTCCACTTCGAATCGTCTCTTAATCCCCGACACGCTCGCGGGAAAAAGGCGAAATAACGCTGATCGATAAATAAGCAACCCGCCGCGGTGGAAATTTTTCACTTCTGCGCGATGAATTTCAAAGAAATCATACATCTACGAAAAAAAATTAAATCAATCAACCCTTTGCGGACGAACATTTTGAATGGGACTTGGAAAAGTACGCGAAAATAATTGTTTCAAAATGTTCTGGTCGAAACTGTCGCGAAGAACTTTTATTCTTCAATTTGAGTTAATTATATAGAAGGCTCTGAAATGGTTTTTGAATCTACAGTAAATATTTGTCGTTTGTTTCCATTGTTTTAGAACATTAATGCATAAGAAAGTTTTTGTAGAATTTTGGTATCATTTGTAAAAGAATGTTATAGCGAATTGCCATTTTTAAGTTCGTTCCTGAACTAGAATCAACCAGTGGCCAATTCGAATACATTTTAAAATTAAAATTAAATAAGGCTGTTTAACGGGCTCGTTTCTTTTAATGACATCCAGACGAACGAAGCTCCAGGTAAAAGCTAGTTTACGAATAAATGTGGAACGTTTACTAGTTATTCCGGAAATAAAATTTGCTCGCCTCTGCTTGTCGACGCCTCCTATAACACGATACCCCAGGGGCGTAGACCCCTTCTAACCCCCCTCCCCCCGCCTTATCACAGTCCTGTGTTGAACAGCAAGACGTTCCTCGTCTAGGAGCCAAATGAGATTAACAAATTTCACTCTAATTATAATTGAAGGGTTTGCTGCGACGAGGAGGCAGAGCTCCGCTTTTTACACATTTTATTTTAGTAAAAAAATATGCGATCTTTCGCTCGGTGCAAACAGAAATTAACTCTAAATAGTAAGAAGAAAATAAACCGTTCTGTTACGAAACTCATTTGACTCGGAGAAGCACAATTTGAATTAAAAATATTAACATGATAATTAATTTAATCTTCAGCTTGCAAGAGCTCCCCATTACTATTAAAAATTGCAAAAATAGAAAGTATGTTGGGGAAAATAAGACGTAGTTTACAATCGACTAAAATTAAACTCCACGAACGTACGCCAAAAATTTCTATTCAATTGTGAGTGATAATTGCAATGAAATTTGACCTCTCAACGACAGAATTGAATAGTACACGTTTGAAAAACGACTCGTTATTAAATCGTACGTCAAAGCATTGATAAAAGAAAGTAAAATATATTCAGAGCGGGCAGAGGGTGTTTCTATACGTAAAAAACAATAAAAAAGAAGGAACAACTATTTTTTGTTCAAGGCCTCGTTACCGAGAAAATCCACGTCGCGGATTTATGGAGTATGTAAGTAGAAAAATAGATCAATGGTCAGACGCGTCGGCCGAATCGTACTGATTTTCACTTGTTGAAATTTTCAAATTCAATTATCTCGAAAACGAAGCCTCGAACGGAAAAAGGTTACTCGTTCTTTTCGATTTGTTTTCATGTATAGAATCACCCCCCACCTTGAATATTTTTGTACTTTGCTTGATCTCTGAGCTTCGCGTCGCTTCATGCAAAGTATATTATCAACGACGTAGAAAGTGACTCGAAATACCGACGGATCTCGTTGTTTCTTTTGACTAACCACGCCTAATTTTGCATGTTGTTGTGTGTTACAGCGTGTGACTGTCACCCGATCGGAGCCTCCGGGAAAACTTGTAACCAAAGTACCGGCCAGTGCCCGTGTAAAGACGGTGTAACCGGCACCACGTGTAACCGATGTGCCAGAGGCTACCAACAGAGTAGATCGCACATTGCACCTTGCATCAGTAAGTATTCGAGTACCTGGACCTCTGTATCTCACTCAACTAAAAACAATTAACAACTCAGACCCATTTATTTACATTGGAAATACGCCTGTGCCTCTCTTTGCGCCCTTTCAAACGAGAATCGTGTAAAAACTTGCTCCGAGAGATTCAGCAATCTCCAGAGAAAGTTATTCGATTACGCGTGACTTTAAAATCGTGTAAAAAGATGGTCAAGTGTAATGTTTTTAACACTCGTCGTTTCTTTTATTAAATTCAAGTAAAAATACTCGAAAAAGTATAGGAAACTTAGTATTTTAGTAATTTGGTCTCTTATTATAAATAAATGTATCTCAGTATAAATCTTTGCTTTCGGTTGATCGTGTTTTTAATGTAGTGGACGCGATTTTTCGTCAATAAGCGAGGGACTACGGTAGCGCGATATTAATATTAGGTACCCGTAAAAAATTCGAGTGGATTTTTCTATTGTAAATTGTATTAAGATTTCATGAACGAAACCGCTCCGGCGTAGTCTTTTATATCGAGATTTCTAGCTGTAGCACAGCACTCGCTAGGGAAATAAGCGCTTTAAGTAAATGCCGGATAATAGGCTTTCATGCATCGTGTTCTACAGCCGCGGAAATTGCCAAGGCTGTCAAGTGCTAAGTCCAAACGGTAAAGAGATATAAAGGGTGTGGCCGAAAGTGCTGTACGTGCGGGTATTCCTCCCGTAAAAATAAATAAACAATGTAGAATTACGTTTATTCCTCCTCTCTTTATGCTCGCTATCGCACGGCTAACAATAACATATGAAACGACCATCGCGTTCGCGTGTGATAAAAAGGTAATAAATTAGGATTTCTGTACGTACAAATTTTTAAAAATGAACTTGCTGATATTTTTCTTTGTCGTTAAACAAAGAGAAGAAACGTTTTGAAACGTTACAAGCACGCTGTAAAATTATTTACTCGAAAGAGATAGCTTTTTGAAAAGGTCTTTTGGATCATATAATATTTAAAATAGCTGGGGGTTCGCGGAGATTCGAGCGTCCCATTAACGGGTCCGTATGGCAAGGATCGACGTTAAAAAGAAAAGGGAAAGCCAAAACGAGAGTTTGGACGGCGGACGTCGTGTTTTTGGTAGCGATCGATCGATCAATTGGAAGGGAACACGCGACCGACGAACCGTGTTATCGTTCGATCGCACGTCCAATTAGGCAAAATTTGCGAATACGAAAGAGGCGACCGTGTAGCCTTTTAGAAGAGATACGAGTTGCATTTAGCGTGACTTCTCGTCCGTTTTCGTTTCAGAAATACCGAGGGTGGTGCAGACACAGGGCACGGCTGGCGAGGAGAGCGGGGAACACGAAGACGAAGACGACGAGCGCAATTACAATGGACGAGCCGGTAAGTATGTAAACAACAACCAAAATGTCTCCCAGATCCTGTAATAATTAATATTTTTATGGGAATTTTTTACGAGAAGTACTTCAAGAAATGTACTTTCGAAAACATTCAAGACTTATCAGAAAAAGTTTCATAGTTATGCCGAAAAAAATTCTTAAAAATTGCCTTTATCGTCAACCATCGCAGTGATTACTTCCCTTAATTTTAACAAATTTCTGGAACCCATATCCTCGATTTTTCTATCCAAATAACTTCTATAAATCGAAGAATATATCTTGATCGAATTATACAAATTAAAAATAATTTATACTTTTTCTGAAATAAATGATACTCGCTTTTTGCGTGCAAATAGAGGATTAGAAGCATCCGGTCCCGTTTAAATTGTATTTCGTAATTAATACCGGGGGAGACGTCGAAGCTTTTCGCGAAAACCGAGGCGGAATGTAATTTATTCGTAATTTCGGTCGAAACGTTTCCACGATCGGAGATACTTAAAGTATGCACAGGGATACGGTAGGAAGCCAGGAAGTTTATTCGGTTACAAACTCCCTTTGCCACGTGGCAACGCGGAATGCAAGCACAATATTAATTCAGCAGACGGAGAGCGAGAAAGACAAAGTCGGAAAAGGGAAAAGAGTGAGGGAATAGAGGGTTGGAATGTCTAGCCGCTTGGCCGCAACCTCTCAGCCACCCTAATGGCTTAATTAAAACAACCGTCACTTGCTGCTTGCCCATTTGTTCCGAGTTCCAACGCCCTACTTGTACGATCGTACGAGCATAAACTTTTACGGTTTTTTTTTTTCTTCTTCTTTTTACTCGAACTCGCGTGCGTGGCAATAAATCGTGCCATCGCGTCGGTTCGAAATACCAACCCTCCGCTTCCGATTCCTATCGTTCGATGACAGGAACGGAGACACTGGGAATTTCTACGATCGATATTCAATCTTTAATAATTTGGACTTTCCACGATTATGCTTTCTATTTCTTTTTTACTGAGACATTTCATGTAACTTGGGATCTTTAAAGGGTGAAGAAAGACTGACTGTATCGCTTCTAATTAATTTTGGGAAACTATATCTTCGAATTCATCGATCTGTTTAAACAAATTTCGTACGAGAAAGAAAACCAAGATGAAATTCATTTCGTGATTAAACGTGCAATTTCGACCTGAGAAATATTTATTAATAATTGATAAGGAGGACTGAGAAAAATTTTAATGGGAGATTTTAGAGACCAAAATAAGACGAAAATCAAGAATACCAGTTTATTGATCGAGGCTTCGTTAAAAAGTTATTAACGTTTAAAGTTCCAACTGTAGAAAGACAGTTAGTTCAGCTAGTGCTGAATGAGAACCACTATCGCATGCACGCAACTTTAAACGTTAATAACTTTTTAACGAAGCCTCGACCAACAAATTGATATTCTTGATTTTCGTCTTATTTTGGTCTCTGGAATCTGCCATTAAAATTTTTCCCAGACACCCTGTACATAAAATTCGCGTTTCTCTTTTCGAAATTAACGCGCCTTGGTGTCCTTTTCCACCCCCTTTTCAATTCTTTCAACCACCCTCCCCCCTGTTCCTCGTCGCGGCTCGCACTTTCCCTTCTCCGTTTCCTTTTTTTCACTTTCTAAGTCTTCTCTTTTTACCTTTTTTTCACCCCCCTCCTCTGTTCGGTTTCCTCCAGACCTCGCGTGCCTCCTGTTTCTGCTTCGACACAGAGGGGAGAACGAGGGGTTCGCTGTCGAGTTATTATTATTTAGCCGTAGATATACATTCGCGTGGTCTCCCTTTAATGGACCGACGTTTTACTTCCACGGGCCGGATGCACGACACGCACACAACAACGCGGTTTCGCGGTCGCGTTCGCAAATTATTCGGCCCTTCTGGGCTCCGGCAACGAGCAAAGGAAAACTCTTAATGGAGCAACTGAATACCTCGCGAATACCCGAAACCGTAATCGAGCCCAGCAATTTTGTACTTAAGCGGGAAGTACATTCTCGACGATGACGCGGCCGCGCCGTGATTTTCAACCCCGGACTTTCGACAATCGATCTCGAGCACCACGTACGATAATCAATAACGTCCGAGTGCCTCGAGTACAGCGATTCGAGTGGCCACGCCATCATAGATCCAGAACATATATCCCTTGTTCCACCGTATTATTTATTCTACCGCGAATCTTTAGACAAACCGACTTTTTGTTGGGGTTTTTTTTTTCTCCAATAAAAACCTTCGAACACGTTTCTCCTGCGACTATATTGTTCGCAAGATTTCGTCTACCATCTACTATTTTTTTTAGTTGTCTAGTATTCTACTACACGATATTCTTAATCTATCAATTTCATCCACATTCCAATATTGAAATAAATCTTAACCGTCTTAACGTCGATAATAATTTTAAAAAAAGAATCATTATCATATACAGTTTATATTTACCGCCTTACGAGGATGCGATACGTGAGCGCCATCTGTGTAGACCAACAGAAATAAAGAACCTCACCGGTGTTGTACGCTCTTATAAAAAGAACACGTGTACACTCTGCCCTTTTCCTGTAATGTAGATCCTAACATATGAATCCTAACAGATGAACGCAAGAACGGTCCGCGTTAGGTTTCCCTGCCGCAATTATCGAGGCGCCGCTGTAGTATACTAACCTAAATTGTCACGGAAGAGCACGGGCGTTAGTATCAATTTGTCCTGGACCGAAACAGTTTCCATCATCGGGGCGACAGATCGCCGAGTTTCCGCAATCGCGTTCATATGCATCGGCTAGCGAAGAACGGAACCGGTGCGTGGGTGCGTGCAACGAGAATTACGCGCGCGGTTGCGTGCAGGCATTAACATATAGATGCGATTCGTGACGCGAAATACATACTCTCGATGTGTGCACGGGGCACGAGATGCTCTTATTTCTTGCTAGAATAGCATTCACGAGAAGAGGCTGGAGAAATATCTTCCAGCTACTAGTTTGCAACGCTTATGAACAATGTGCGATGCTGGGAAAAAGGCAATTGCTCGCGGCTATCGGTGTTTCTGTCGCTGGCGCGGAACCGAATGTAATAACACGTTCGGAGCCTATCCTGTCGATGCCAGCGCCAGTCTGCGACTCGAGGATCTTCGAATAACGCGAACCAAGACAAGACACGCTCGATTAACGAACGGATAATTGAGTTTGTAAAAACTCAAACTGAGTTTGTAATTTATTAGTAATATTTAAGTTTTTAAATAAAATCTGAAACACCTAATAAGTACATGAGCTCTAAGGTGATACTGTTTTTGCAAAATATGGAGAATAATAGATATAATTCTCTGTCTTTTCAACCCCGAATATTGCAAAATAAATTAGGATGTACCCCAAGAAATTCGAAAACCAAATAGTTTAAGGTTACGTGTACCACGATTGGTACCTGTTACCCTAGTAGGATTCTAATTTACAGCACTTGAAATATCAGTTATTTTACTATAAGAATACACAATGTCGATGAGTTCTATTTCTCTGAAAAGTACACTTTATCTCTATCGAATGGGACAATTCATGAATAGTACATATTTAATACCAATGAATCGAGCTAAAGGAACCCGACAGGATAGGTTTAGTTAGCTATCAGCGATGGTGAAAGACTAGATCGTTCGACTAACTTTTAGCGTCCATCGGTGGGTCTGAAGCAACCTTGAGCGAATAGTTTCTCCAGAAAAAGGCAGAAAACAAACCTAACCGAATTCAGTAAGGCCTCTTCGTAGGTCGGAGAGCAGCGCCCCCTTGCCCCCTCCACCCACCCGCTGGGAAAATCCCATTTAACGGCTCCCAGCCCACAAGGGGCATCTCGCTTTCCAAGGCCTGTCGATACTGATTTACGAGAGTTCTTATATTTTGACCGTCGACTTATACACTTCTGGTACTGTACACGGCAAGAATGAACGCAACAGAAAGGGCGTTTCGTATCGAGCCGGTTCCAGACGTTCGGCTACTTGCCAAGTACCGGTCGCTTGCCAACCACTTGGTGGCTCTATACTCCGGTAAACTTCTCGCCTCACACACACACAAACACACACACACACACACAGACACAATCATAGCCACAGAGAGAAGAAACGCGTGTTTACAACTGCTGAGCTCCGAGCGAGCCTCGGCGTTATCTCTGGACACGCGACCGACGGTGTCTCCTCGGGTTACTAACGTAAAGGTTAGGCCAACTAGGGCTGTCGAGGACACTTCTCCCCACCGACTATGTCCATCCTCTCATGATTTACTCTCTTTCGGCAACGTGGATAGCTTCCGGCTATCTTCCGTGACGCGGGTAGGCTCGTTCGAACTGTGCTAGGCGAAATAGCAGGAGTTACGAAAAGACATCCTAGCGGGCTCTGTTTTAGACACTGGGACACGTAGCCCACTGGCGGCGAGTACAGGAGGTGTCGCCACAAAGCGAGACACGCGCCAAACGATCTTTGTCTACAGATTGTTCTAGGTTAGATTTTGCATTAAATTAGGTTAAAGGTTAAATTTGACTCGATTTGGAAATCTGAATATTCCTACATTAGCTCTTAACGACGTAATTTTATTAGAGATTAATAAGCGTGACATCGACGCGTATTTGAACAAAACGAATCAGAGATCACCGATTGCTAGACAGTAGAAACAATAGGTGCGACGCGCGAGGGAAGTATTAGTACTAAAGAAGAAGAAATAAACGTGTCGTCTGGTTTACAAGGCGAGTTAATCTGCAGTTCGCTTACCGTACCGATGCGTGAACTTATTGCTCGAGCGTACGCGCTCGGATAAACGCCCACTAAGGGTCCTTTCATTTCAGGAAACAAACCCCCTGCTACTGTTTCCACACCGCATCGATTCGTTCTCTTTCCCGTTTTCTTCCTTTTCCACGATCATGGGTGCGCTTTAAAGCCGCTCTCGCTTTCTTTACACCGTACGCCGAAACAACAACAAAATCGCCGACCAGGGAAATCCATTTCGTTTCGCTATTAAAAACTATTCCGTTCACTGATTTAATTACACTACATTAATATTTCTATTTTATTCTACGACGATTGCTTCCACGTCCTTTGCCGTTGGAAATTTTGAAAAATACAGAACAACGCTAAATTAATAGAAATGACGAGCAACGAAGCAAAATTATTAAAAGTAATTTACTATTTTAATAATTGAAATTTACGAAATCCCTGTCGCGTCTGACCATTAATTTCTTTTTCTACTAGTACCGAGTTTGGTCCGTGCATGCACGACGCCTACTTATTTTTATTTTTTTATTTACTCGCGAATTCGATAGATTTTTGCAACGAACGAGCGGCCCCTCGCAGAAGGAAGAAAGTTTCGAAGGAAATGACCTTTCGTTTCGTCGGTGCGACGTACCCGCGATGAGCAATCGATCTGTTTTTCGTGGACTATTAAAGCCGAACGCGTGTTTCGTCAAAGGGAACGTTTGATGATATGAAAAACACGGTTTCAACGTCTAAAATACACTCGTCGAAACTTTACTCCAGATTTTCGTTAGTTTTAATACTTTACGACGAGCAAAAGTTGATTACAGTTAATTAAAGTAAATACTCGTCGACGGAATTAAGAATTTCATAACTTTGGAGATAACTCGGAGTCGTCAGGGTAACCGAAAGAATCTTTAAAACATTCTGCCATCCGATGCACGATGCTCGGTATAGCAATGATTATCTTCATTATTACAGCACAGGCTTACCAGTTCGGTCCCTAAACCAAAGTTAATTACCAGCCGCTGTAGCTAATTTAAATCAAAACTAATTGACTCCCTCTCCCTCGCACCCTGCCCCCCCCCCCTCCCTCCCCTCCGCGATCCTACTTCCATTACTCCAGGTCGAGCCTCGGTTTCTAATATCACGAAACTTCGTCTAAATTTGTCTGGTTGCATACGCGAGTTCGTCGCAAATCCCTAGACGAATCATATTGCGCGCGTAATACGGAGATAAATTCGTTCCGACGATCGAGGGAAAACTGAAATTACGATAAAATAATTTTAAAACATGCACGTTTACCGTATTAATTTATTAAGTCTCGAATGAAAAAAAAAAGTCTACTCCCTTTGGCGTGCACGTGCGAATAAATTCGAAGAAAAATTGAATGGCGTGGGTTTGAAAAACGACTCGTAATTAAATCGTACGTCAAGGAAGTTAAGAGGCGCGGCGACAGGTGCATAGCAATGAATATTTCATTGAAACGGTAGACTATGATCATAATCGTTTAATTTCGTCGCGAAAGTACTTTACATTAAGAGCACCGTTTATCCTGGTAGGGTGGGGTCGTCTCAAAAGGCAGTCGCACGAAAAACCGTAGATTCTCTACGGTGTAAAGGCTGGCATGCACCCACGCATCCATTAAAGTCCCACTCGGTCGCTGTAAGATACTTAGGGTGCCTCATAAGGCATGCACTGTACCGCCGAGACCCTTTTATAATTAAGACGTTACTTTACGACCGTCGGTACACCTCGCGTGCATCTTCTATGCATGCGATAAAGGAGGTTAAAATATATTAGAAAAATGCAAAACGATTCGAGAAAGTTTCGTTGCTCGGAGGACATTTGATAATTACTTATTTGAAAATAATTTGAAAGTTGACGTCTCGCTTAAATAAACGAGAATTTCTTTTTGGTACGAACATCGTCTTTAATTTATTCGTAATTTTCTTTGCATACGTCACAGCATAATCTGAATTGCGACTAAACGTTCTTCTTCGAACCAAAAGGTGGCGTACGAGTAGCCAATCGCGCGCGAACGACCGATAGCGAGTACCCGAACGTGTAGAAACGGCTTTAGGTTGGAATCAGACGAGCGATACCGCAGCGATTCTATGTTCTTCCTTGTTTTGCAATTAAGACGAACAATATCGACGTTTCCATGTCCGTCTTTTAATTGCAAAACAAGAAAAAACAAAATCGCCGCGATATCGAAACGGCATCGTGTACCGCTCGTCCGTTTCCAGCCTAGACTCGTCGACGAGAGTCTGTAGCACGTAAATACTCGTAATGGAAATCGTACAAGCATACCTTGGATATCTGAGGCTTTCACAACCCGAGTTCTGATAGCTGATACTGGTTAAGGCTTCCGGGGAATAAGCCGGCTCCAAGAAAACCAGCAAACTAGAAGCTTTTCCAGTAGCACCCACGGAACTTTCGATCGTCGCGGCCGCCATGTTTGTTATTCCCTCGTTCGAGTCGCGCGACTTTGGCGTTCGTTTGAATCGTTCTCGCTCGGGGCCCCATCTACACCGATCGAACATTAACTAGCGTTGGGTCTTTGAATAAAATAAAGGAACGTAGATTTTTAGATAGAATTAATTTATCGTAATTTTGAATACAATAATAACGATTCGTCCTAATTTTCTTTAATAGATGTTGATAAATAAAAATTTGTTTTCAACGCGATAAGCAATGACTCGTGATCTTTAGCGTTGGATTTAGGTGGTTTTCAGGATGATTGCGATGCAGAGACGAAGTTGGTCGCATCGAGCAGGGCAACGGAAACCAGTTTCGAGTCGCGTCTATCCGGATCGATAAGATCGGTCGATCGGAAAGCAGACCTTACGGTTTTGATACGTTCGATGGCAAAGCTATTGCTCGTTCGGTTGATGCGGATTAGCGCGGGTTAATCGACACAAAGGACGTCTCGTTAGTCGGGAATTAAACGGATTATGGTCTGAGGTCTCTGCCATCACGATCGATTCATGGCGGCTGGCCGGCCGCGTATCTGGTTCGCTTTCGACTCGCATTTCCCCGTTTCGTAATTCGGTTAATTGGTTCGATGGCATGCTCCACGGAACCCGCCTACGAAATTCTTCTACCCCGTTCGCGGAATCACGGCCAAGCAAATGTTTGCTTTCTCTCGCGAGACACGGTCACACGCGACGACAAAACGCGAAACGAAACGGCAAATTGGATTATCGGCTTCTCTATCAATCCGCGGGAAATAGATCGGTCGTGAACCTTTCCGTTCGACGGGCGCGCGATTCGACCACGCTGATGCGATTTCAGAATCCTGGTCGTAACAGAAAAAGCAACACGTACGGAATACCATTGGTCATTTCGAATACCTAGGCATCTTAAAATACACTGATACGAGGAATAATAGGAGCAAACGACCTCTTAACGATCTATACAACCCGTCGATGCGATTTTAGAACGTAGTCGCATTCGCTGTCCGCCATTTTATCGACGTTGAGAACACTACTGTAGGGTCAGCGACGATATCAAATAATATAATTTTTTTACCGCGAATTATCAATCGACGACACAAATTGTTAATATGCAGGGCATTCCCTGAGAAAAAATTTAACGAGGGATTCTAGAGACCAAAATAGAACGAAAATCAAGAATACTAATTTGTTGATCGAGGCTTTATTAAAAAGTTATTAACGTTTAAAGTTGCGTGCGCGCGATAGTGGTTCTCACTCAGAATTTACAACTTTAAACGTTAATAACTTTTTAACGAAGCCTCAACCAACAAATTGGTATTCTTGATTTTCGTCTTATTTTTCCCTCTAGAATCTCCCATTAAATTTTCCCCTTTTGCATATAATTGACATCGAATAAAATTTACAATAAATATCTCCTACACGCTACAGATGCTACTATAACAATTACGGAATACTGGATCGTACAGATCGATAGTGATACTGATCCAGGAATGGACAAAAGTAAAATTTAATGGCTAAGTATACGTTTTGCAAATTCTTCTATCTCGAAGGAAAATAGATTTTTAAGCTACAAGTACAGGAAGGGGAAATTGTCAACGCCCAGAAAACTTATCGACGCGTACCCGGGTTTTTTTGTTTTCCCGCCGGACGGATTTGAAACTTTTCAAATATCGGAAGGCAGCTTCGTTGATAGACGGACGTGACGGTGGCCCCACCTCCCACCCCCCACTCCCCTCCATCCCCCCGTGGCAGGCGCAGAATTTTCATTATTTTTTATTGAATAACGCGCGCCCGTGAATCGACCGGGGGCATTGATTGAATTTCAAACGAAATTCAAATCACGTTTAATTTCGTTAGCCAACGAACGAGCTAAAGCGAGGCTGCGAGTAGAGCGTGTGTACTAGTTGCGTGCAGTTTGAATTCGTAGTTCGGGGGATTCGGTGAGTTGTACGGATTCTATTATCGACCTGCAGACCACGGGTTCATTAAAACGCAATGAAACATACAAAGACAACTCTTTTTTTCACCCTCGAAAACTTCCTTCTCTGTGTGTGCCTACTATCGAAAATGTTCCGTGCAAAAATTGGGTCGATGTTTGTCGACTGTCGTTCGACAACGTTTCCACACGTTTTTCAGTAATTTCTCAGCAAATTCTGAAAAAGAGAGATCGAAATTACTTAAACACATACCTTTTGCAACACGATTTCATTCTAACAGCTTTGATAGATACATAAAACTAAATAACAGCTTTATTATTCGACGAAAGGATGGATTAATTGGAAATCGGATATATCGAAATTTCTCCACGGCGATACGGCGTTTTGAGAATATTTTAAGAGCATGTCGAGCAAAAAACAAAAATGCCGCGCGTTCGTGGAAATTTACGAAATTCGTTCTTTGCCGGGCAAACTCCCGCCAAAGAAAACACTGTCGCGACGAGTGAGATTAATTTACGTCCGACATTACGGTCGAAAAAAAGAATGCATCGCGATAAAGCAAATATTCCGTCCGTAGAAACGTATGAAATATGCTTCGAATCTTGTAAAAAAAGAAAAATTATAAATGGACCGGCGATTCGAACTAATATTTTCGAAATGAGATTTTTTTAAACTCTGCATTCCGATCGTCCCACGTTCGTTACGACTCTCGAACTTTTTACGAGTTACTGATCTTTCGAGCTGAGGAAAAAAAATGAAAATTTATTACGTCGAACCCTGACGAGTAAATAAATTTAAATAAAATTTTTAATTTCATACCGTTTCTTTTATTGCAGACCAGTGTGGAAAGTGTCGAGCCAGCACCAAGAGGTTGAACCTGAACAAATATTGCAAAAGAGATTATGGTGAGTAGGAGGTATTTAAAAATTGTCCCGTGTGTCTATGAATTTGTTAAAGAACGCGAGCGTGAATATTTTAAACGGTTTTTTCGTAGCCATTCTGGGCAAAATAACGGACAGACACAAAAAGAACGACGGCTCGACGGCTGGAACGAGCGTGTCCGGCTCGGATTGGATACGTTTCACCCTAAACGTCGACTTCATCTACAAAAAGGCCCCGAACTCGAGAATTCGTCGCGGCGACGTGTTCCTTTACGTGCACACGGCCGACTTGGCCTGCAGGTGCCCAAAAATCAAACCGAACAAGTGAGTAATAGTAATAGTAATAGTAATAGTAATTGTTTACAAAAGAAAACTGTTCGATTTCAGGCAAATTTTAATTTAAATACACAAAGTACAGAGGAAAGTCTCGTATACAAATTAATACACGTTTCTTCGTACTATCATCTTCTGTTTCACAGAACAATTCACTATATGCATGTGTAGGATTTAACGAAGAGGATTTATTTGAGGAACAAATGTACATATCATATAATTATAACAAACGAATTTGGAACACACAAATTAATAATTAGCAACACAAATTAAAATCACTCGTTTCTCCCTCCCTGTTGTCTCGTTGTCCCTAGTAACCCCTTCTTTCTTCAACAAAACACTTTCAACCCTTTTGCACATAAATTAACATTGAACAAAACTACAACGTGGCACAAATATTCGATACAAATCTCCTACACATGTATATTCTTTAAGAATAATAATAGACTGACATTGTGGTCACGATAGAGGAACCCCGATGCTTGTAAAATTATAAATAACGCTAGTTTAATTAGGAAATTTCGTTCTGTAATTTAAACAAATTTCAAGTACATCTTCGCACATGAAATCACGATACAAAGGATCGAAACGTAACAACAGAAATAGAGACGAGGTCCGAACAGTATTATTTTTTATCACTGTGTGGAGAAGATATCATCGACCTCATCACTAGAATTCTCGGAAAACAGAAAATTAAAAAAATATTCACGACACGAAATAAAGCTGGACAATTTTAACTTTCCCTAAATATCCATGACCTGTACCTAGAAAATATCTATCTAAAAAAATGTACGTTGATCGAATGACGTTCGTGCAAATAAATATTGGATGTGAAAGAATTTCTTTTGCATTTTAAGTCACGTTTTGACGTCTAAGTTTGCGTTATTGATCAAAATATTATATGGAATGTTTGTAATTTGACTTTCTGCGGTCGAAGGGTCGATAAATCGGGAGTAAATGGCGAAACGATGGTAGGCAGGGGTGCAACTAAAGATAACCGTTGAAATTTCCAGGTCGTATTTGATTCTTGGCCAAGAGAGCGATGGCGGAGGTCAAGGTGGACTGACAGTGACGCAGAGGTCAATTGTTATCGAGTGGCGCGACGAGTGGCATCGCCGAATGCGACGCTTCCAGCGAAGGGCAAGATCGTGTCATTGAACTAATTCGCGTCGTACCAAGGAAAATAGACGGAGAAAAAGAGGGGAGATTAAGAGTGAGAGTGTGAGAGAGAGAGAGAGAGAAAGAGAGAGAAAGCGAGAGAGAAAGAGAGAGAGAGAGAGAGAGAGAGAGAGAGAGAGAGAGAAAAGGAAGAGGACAGAAACGAGAGATCGAGGAACAAAAGTCCAACCTTTGCTCGTATTTGTAGAAAGGTACAACGTTCATTTTTCAAACTGCCAATAGCTGTATGTATTTTCGCGTACCTACTTTTTCGCACGAAATACTCAACGACGTCCTAAGATTAACGATAAGTAACAAAACCGCATTGCCCGGTGAAATGCTAGCGAGAACTCGTAACTATGATCAATTAACGAAATGTATACATACGTTCAATTGAATCGTTTGATATAACGAACGGGTCCTGAGACTTTGAAGTAATAATTGGAAAATAATTAAACGATACGTGGCTCTCGAAAATATTTAAACACTTGATAGTTACGTATTTAAATTAAGTCCAAGACTAACTTAAAACTAACATTTACACATCCATCGATCGCCATATTTTACTATTTTCGACGCTATTGTTTGAACCAACAATTTTAATACACCGTTTTCTACACTTTACTGTAATATTTTTTTTGTCCACTAGACGCCATTTTCTTTTATGGTCCCTTCTGTATTACATTTTTACGTCTTGCTAATAGATGGTGCACGAGAACATCCTTCAGCTACCATCGATGCCCAATTGTGATTCGGAAGTATTCTTGACGATAAGATAATTTTTATTCGCGATATAATAAGCAGTAGATTTTTCCGATACTACTTCACTACCGATTCTCTTGCAAAATTGCGAGACTTTGAACGCTGTTGCCCTTGGACCGACTACCATCGAACTGACTAATGTTTACGATCCGTGATCTTCGGGAATCCTCGGTCGTCAGAGTTCGTATACTTTCGTGAGCCATTTCTGAAACGAGTTTACAATAAATATATCGTTGAGTTATGCTCTGATTCCACTTACGTAGAGTCAGGATCCACGTTATACGCGTCATATTACATAATAAAATTGACTTGAAAAATGTTCCATTCGTATTCACCGACAAACAGATTTCCCACGTGCATTTCATCGAACCAGAAATGCAATGTCTCGCGCTAAATTGAACTTAGAATTTATACCGATATAAATTATATATTTCCTACGAATTTATACCCCTTTTTATTCGTTGATGTAACGCAAACCAAAAGAACACGGCGATTTCGTTTAATTGTATAAAGAAAGAACAACTTTAAGAAAGATTTATGAAAGGAATCCTTAAATTCTTCGTTCGAAACGTAAAAAGAGAAAATTAAAGAGGACGTGTTCCAGTAAATGTACCGATCACGAATCGAATGTGCGGTATTGGATAGCGAACTACAGTTGTAATTACCGTTTTCGTACAAATACATACGTGATTTTTGATAGTTTGTTACCAAATGGTACCTTGTGAATTCAACGAGTACAGAATGCTACGCGCTCAGAACAACAAAAATTTATTCTATTAATTTTCGATTCAAACGCGAAGCTTTAATTCGTTAAACAAACGAACGGAAAGATCACGGAACTAAAAGAAAAAAGAAAAACTCCGCTTTTATGTTAATCGACAACGTGTTATTGCAGATAAAATTGCAAATATATTTACGCTCAACAGACTGTATAGATGCGATAAAAACTTGCTTTGCACGACTCGCGAAATTATTTAAAAAATCACGCGGAACTCGATAGCGCTACAATTAATATATTTATACGTATTAATTTCCGCGAACATGTTCATTTTGTTGCACCGTTATTTTGCAATAATCGTACACCCTCGTTCCAATAGGTGAACGCGTAATTTATAATTCAAGTAGTCGGCACAAACGAGTTTTTATCGCGTATAATATTCATTAGTTTTTAATTCGATATACAGTTAACAAAGTGAATGGAGGCATACGTTATTCTTTCCACGAATATAGCAATTTCGTTGTATCGAGTGCATCGAATTTAGTTTTGCAAAATTGTTCCTTGCGAATTTTTAAACGTTTCGTCTCTCTCGTTGCAAACTCTGTACCATTGATTGGAACAACAAAGATTTACAATGTTTTCGAATGGTACGATCTTTCCCCTGCCCTCAGACTTCCCCATCTTTCTCACAGCGTACAGACTTCTTCTTGTTTTTTTATTTATTTATTCTCCTCTCATTCGGTTATCGCGAATCGATCACAATTATAAAGATGTACGCGAACGTTGAGTGTAGATTTTCTTGTACATTTCCTATATGTATAAATTATTAAGATTTCTTTCGACTTAGTATTATTATTAGTAGTATTATTATCGGTAGTAGTGGTATTAGCAATAGAAGTAGTAGTTATCGAAGAGAAATAGAGGCTAAGCCCGGAATGTGTCGAAATATCATTCGTAAAAAAAAAAAAATAAGAATCATCGATCGCTACGCGTCGCAAGAAAAAATTATCGTGATTGCCATCATAATTGAAATTACGATAATTATCGTTTCCATTATCGACGTCACGACTCTTAACGATAGATAATGGACAACGATATTCGTTTCCTTGACGTATATTTTTTTTTTTTGTTTCTTGTTTTTGCGACTTGTCACGAGATTTCGAAAGCAACGTCGGATCGGAAACGAAACGATCTCTTTCCCGATCTCGACCGCAAACAGTTCTTCCGAATATTAGGGGTTGTTTTTTCTCACGAACCATCCGTGTATACTTGGACAATAAAAATGCCCTGATCGTGGAAATTCTACAAACGAAATAGACGATGTTGTTATCGAATGCAACCTACTCTAACGAGACTTACGTATGCAATTACGACGAATGAAATAAATAATTGCTGATACTTGTCGTCCTTGAAATGCGAGTTCCTAATTGTAACGGACGTTTATATCGTGTAGCCTCCATTTTTCGAAATGTCGTCAACATTCATATAAATAATACAAAGAAAAATCGTCAAATGGCGTTAAACAAATTTTCTATCGGCGAATTTTAGTTTACTCGATATAATTGTATACTTATAAACGCCCTTGAAAGGGTGAAACATGTATCATAGAAAGGTGGCTCGTGCGATTTTTTAACGTTCGTGCAAAAATAAAAAAAAAGAATTAGTCGAAGAATGTAACGTATAAAAATGATTGCAAAAATTCGTTGAGTTTCGAAAGCATGGCTACACGAATTTGTCCGCCCTGCGAAAAATCCAGTCGAACGTTTTCTTTTTTTTTTAAACAAAAATCTGTCGAACGAGGCAAACGAAAAGACAGGATAATTTATAAGGGTACTCGACATTTTATAAATCGAAGTGATCTCGAGCGATCGAAACAGAGAATTCGTTGTAACTCCCCTTCGCCCCCAAAAGAACCACGAAATTGTATCCTCGTTCGCGATAGCGATGATCCGTGACTTCTCGAAAGGACAGTAATTAAATACTCTTTTGTGTACCGTAATCAACGATGTATCTATGTACTTACAATGTTAACAAGTATCGAACGATCGCGATGGCGAAGTTGCGTGTAGGAATCCGTACGTAACGAGGAACGCTGGCACCGAATCTTACGCCACGTGGACATATTCGTACGTCTTTCCTCTTTTTCGACTGTGAGAAAAAAGAAAAAAACGAAGAAAAGACTCACGAACTTCCGTAACGCGTTCTCAAAGTGTGCTTTTTAGGGATAATGTAACAGGAAATCGCATCAACCCCTCGGGTACAACGCAACTTTCGATCTTACGCGACGCTATTCAAGCTTGTTTAAATTTCACTGATTTTTGGAGCGACGAAAAGAGACAGGTATTGCAATAAAAATAAAATTTAAAGTTGCACGTATGTAATGGTACTTATTTAACGCTACGAATAAACAAGATGGCGTGTTACTTCGATTTTGAGTCGCCGACAGGATGGATTTTATACTCGTCGTACTCGAAGGGTTACTAAAAACCCCTAACGCGATTATCCTGTGAATCGAATCCGAAACGGCGTATAAATAAATTAGGCTTTCTAACGAGCACACTCGAATCCATGTCCACCGTTCGACACCAATGGCGAGGGATCCTTTTTGTAAAAGAATTGCGCTTTAATTCTTATCATCGTCTGATTGTTTTAACGAAACGTTGCTCGTCTCCGTCGCCTACGCTATGATTACGTGTATAAAATGTACGAACGTAAAGCTAGCACTAGTGTAAGTAAAGAATATATCGAGTAATTCGCAAAATTAGTCCGTATATTCGAACGTTAGAGAGAAACGTGAAACGCGACGGATTACGTGAAAGTTCGATTTGATCGATACGATCGATCGTGTCGACGGAATTTTTTATAGCATCACAGAAACGCGTGTTCAGATTTCATTTTGTCGCTTCGATTAATAATTTCTACTAGAACGTATCTTCCAGTCTTTTTATAAAAGATCTTAGCGATTATAACGACGCGCGAAAGTTCACTTTTTGCACTCCGAACCATTTATTTCTAATTTTAATCAAACGATCAACTCTCGTCCATGTAAAAACAAAAAAATGCCATATTGGAAATAACGATTTTCCTTTTCCACGAGGATCGAATGAAAAACGCAAGAAATCGATTAACGTCCATACGTAACCGTACGTCGGATCGCAAAAGATTAATAGGTGAAACTTAACGATGTTTTGGTATCGCATAAAAGTTAGAAAGTAGTCACAGCGTAAAAGTAAAACAATCCTAGTTTAGTTCTCCTGTACACGTTCACGAAAACCAAAACTGTATCGTTTATTTTGAACCATTTATCGCGCGACAACATTCTAGATGAAAGAAATACCTTCGCAGGTGCAAGATTTTACGAAAAATTCTTGGCCAAGCTGTATATCGTAGTGTACACGATGTCACAGTAAGTGTGCTATTTATACCTCCACATTATTAATCGATTACTATTGTACCACGATTACGATTTAGATTCGATTAAATTATTAAGTGTATCGTTGTGTATTGTGGTGTAATAAATGTGATTAGTTGTATGAATAATAAATACAATGCATAAAGAAGATACATTTCCCCCGACTGATATTTCGTTCTTCGTCCGATCAATAACGAACTACTTCTTATTCGAGGAAATAATATTTATTTCTTAATCAAGAAATTTTTCTTCTCCAAATAACAGAATCCATCAGAGTTAGGCAAATTTTATTCTCGAATAACGAGTAACGTGACTTTGTTTATCCAAATATTGCTTTAAAATATTCTTTAAATAAATGAGACGTACGTAGAAATTAGTTTACGAATCAATTTAAAATTTGTGCTCATATTCACGAATAAGATTTGCCCGACTCTGGTATACGCAGGGTGTTCGGCCACCCCTGGGAAAAATTTTAATGAAAGATTTTAAAGGGCAAAATAAGACGAAAATCAAGACAAAAACAATTGTTGATTGTGGCTTCGTTAAAAAGTTATTATCGTTTAAAGTTCCGCCTGTAGAACGGCAATTTGTGAACAGCTGCGTGCCTGCGACAGTGGTTCTCACTCGCTACTTCTGAGTGAGAACCACCAGCACCTGTTCATAGATTGCCGTTCTACAGGCCGAACTTTAAACCTTAATAACTGTTTAACGAAGCCTCGATCAACAAATTGGTATGCTTGATTTTCGTCTTATTCCGTATAAATGAAAATTAAAATAAATTTATTATCTCACACAATATTTTCAACGTCTCGACAGCATGCTCGATGAGAAATGACTCTAGCCGCGCCTTTGATCGGCATTTCCATGCGTCGGTCGTCTTTTATTTTTCAAAGTACTGCATGTTCCGCCTATAATACATTCCATCAATTTCTATTATTACGTTTATAATTATGCATATATTTCAGCTAACAAAGAATAATTTATTAGATTATACAAAGTAAAATAAAGATAAATAATGTATTACGAAACTATATCTAAGGAACGATATATTAAATCTTGCTGTTTCATTGTCGCTGCATAGTCTATTTAAATGCTTAATTATTTGCTGGATGACTTACAGATTCTACAATACACTAACTCTGTACAGGTAAAATTACAAATCGGATCTAACGCCAAATCCGGGTTCTGGCGGCGGGGATGTCAATGATGTTAATCCGCCTGCTGGATCTGCAGCAAATCTAGGTGAATTTTGTGGACCTGGCGGTGGTCTTTCGCCCTTCTTTAATGCATTTATTATAGCAGTTGCGCTTTCAGAAGTCAAGTCTTCCTACAATAAATATCACACACGAATACTAATTTGCTTTTCTCAACACCTTCATGGCCGTGCATTCCAAGTGACGTACGTGTGAAAAATATTAAATTTTTAAGTATTACACTTACATAATAATCGTCGTTCACTTGAAACATTGGTGCATTAGCACACGCGCCAAGACACTCTACTTCGGAAACTGTAAACAGCTTATCTTCCGACATTTCTCCAATTTTACAATTTGTAGCTTTAGTTACAGCATCTACGATGGAATCGGAATCTCGCAACCAACATGGAGTACAAGTGCAGATTTGTATATGATATTTTCCCATCGGTCGTCTATTAAACATGGTATAAAATGTAGCTACTTCGTACACCCTCATATTTGATACACCTAATAGTTCTGCTACTTTGTGCATGGCAGAAATGGGCAGCCATCCGTGTTGACGTTGAGCTAAATCTAACAAAGGTATCATCGCACCACGCTTGTGCCCTTCTGGATAAATTTTCAGAAGTGCTTCGATACGCTTTTTGTTCGCCTCGTTGAACTCAAAAGGTATTTTTGGGTTATCAACTTCGCTGTCTCTATGCTAAAATTAAAAGTTAATGTAAAAATTTCGTATACATGATATGTATCATATATGAGAGCGTACATAATACACATTATATATAGGAGTACGTACAGTAAATAACTGATCCGATGTGCGAACGGTTGTAGTCTGTAGTGCTCTAACATTTTTACAGTTCTGCTGCATAAAAATGGAATATTGTAACTTAAACTTAAATTTCCAAAATTCAATTTAAGAAAAATTATTTAATAACTTATAATATACTCTGAATAGACACGCTCTATATTGTATTAATTAAACTATAAAAAACATAATGCTTGAAAGATGCCATTGTAAAACATTAAATTTCTTTCCCTGTGTATGGCATGTATATCTTTTTATGAAACGCAACACAATACAATTTACATATTATTATTTAATTTGTAACATTTAAAAGACACAATACCAGATAGTTTAAATTATTCTACTACAACATCTTGTAGATAGAAATAGACAACTGACCTTTTAGTTACTGTCTGATATAATACTAAACTATTTGACATTTAGTGTCATAACTTCTCGATATGTGCTTATTTAAATATACAAGAATGAGAGAAACAATTAGATGCGTCCATTATGGAACATTCACAACTTTTCAATTTTATAAATTATATTTTAAATAAATAAATACATAAAATACAAGATTACATAAGATTATGAAAGAGGTTAATAATATTATAAGCTACGGTACACGATATCACAAAGTAACGAATAACTCACATAAAACGCGCGAATTGCGCGTGAAGAAAGGAACATGATTAGAAGATTTTTATATATTAACTAATAAAAACACTTTCCACTTTGCTTCTCTGTTTTCTTATATTTTTATAATTACAAACTACGTTTACACGGTTCAATTTACGTCTCGGTTATAACATCAAAGTACACTGGGGAAGTGGGGAACACGAATTCTTTTCCTCCAAGAGAAAGTTACCAGTGGAGTACTAACCTCTAACTTTTTTTCTAGAGAAAAGGACCTTTTAGTATTTTTCCGAATGACTATGCATTCTATCGAAGTACATTAGATCGTTAGATTTTATATGTATTAGCAAATAATTAGAAATAATGATAGAACGTTATGGCCTAGAGCCTAGGGAAATTATAACTAATCATGTTCAGCTCGTCGATAATATAAATAGACCTTAAATGCTGGTTACCAACGGCTGTTTCACATAAAAGCTGCAACCGTTTATATATTTTTCAAAAATTGATATAGCAATTGCGATGTAAAACAGTGTTTACACGACGTTTAACGTTGGAAGTTATATCATCCATAACTCCGGCGTAAATCGTACTGTGTAAACGTAATAAATAACGGAAATTAATAATGTTGCTGTATTAGCCTTTGATATACAATGACTAGAGACAAAAAATTAACGATAAACTGCAAACAAATCAACGGCGAAACATCTATTAAAAGATTATTACTATACATAATGTTAACAATTGTAGATTTCAATACATGTATATATACAGCACGGCGTTTACACGTGATTTCGTTTGTCTAAACTTTGTGTTAAGATGGAAAGGACGATAAAAATACTATTGATTACTAAAATGTTACAATATAATTACTTTATATGCTTTTATTAAGCAACGCCAAATCACATTGTTGAGAGTCGCCGAATTATATGGCCGCACCGTCCAGTTGCTAAGGAGCCTATACCAAATGTTCCCTCTTTACTAATCCCCCCTGCAACCGGTTTTTCTGACGTTATCTTACCCTCTAATTCCAGAGGGAGTTACTCGCGTAGTGAATACTTTAAAAGTTTTGAGGTTATAGTAAATTTCTGCAAGGACAACATTTGTGGTGTTATCGTGATATAGCAATATTTAAGCAAAGTACCGTCCTTTTTCTTGGACGAGAAATAGAGCTCTGATATTAATTATGTGAGCAGTAAGAGCCTGCGGGTTAATTCTATGTCAATGACATGTCGGCTCCAAATAACGTTAAAACAATGCGGGCGTACAGACTGGCCTATCTGGCCGTCTGACAAATATGAATTTGTGACATAATTTCGTAATTTTTATAATCGAACATGGTCAAAGAGAAACCAAATTCAATTCGTATTTATGATTCGGAGGGCTATAGACGTAGAGCTGCATGTATCTGCGTCAAAAACGATCTTGAAGATGAGGTAAGTCAGCAGATGGAGGGTAGTATTTTTTTCTCGATTATCGTAGTATTTTCATTCTGATTTCAGTTCCTACTTTTTCTTCGATACACGAATTAAAAATAAATTGTGTTATTTACAGGTACTTTTAGTTACATCCAGTAGAAGACCAGATAGTTGGATAGTACCCGGTGGAGGCGTCGAGCCAGAAGAAGAACCTGCTGTAACCGCGTTACGAGAAGTCAGAGAGGAAGCTGGTGTTTTAGGACAATTGGGCCGTTGTCTTGGTATATTTGAGGTAACCGCGTAACGGATATATTTAATAAAACATAGCATCGACGAGCAATAAAGGTTGTAAACATAATTTTTTTTATAGAACGTAGAACACAAACATAGAACACAAGTGTGGGTTATGCGGGTAACCGAAGAGCTACCAGAATGGGAAGATTCACGGAATATCGGTCGAAAGCGAAAATGGTTCTCTATATCAGAGGCCTTGCTTCAGCTTGCTCAGCACAAACCCGTCCAGCGTTCTTATATACACAGCCTCTACAATACTAATCCACGACATAATCCTAATATCTCACCACCTCACCATTCGCATACCACTGTAACATCTATTCAGTTAATGAGTAATTCTAGTAACAATCCTCATCTTAACAAACACAGCTAATATTAAATACCATCCATTTGCGTGAACAGTTGCCATCAAATGTTAAATATTTGTTGCTGCTCCTTTCCTTTTATATGGTTATAGCAACCACTACAATTGTATTTTATATGTAAAAGGACACTGCATGTATCTTCTCCTTTTCTCTATTTTTGTTTCCTTGTTCTGTTATTAGTAGCAAAATTGCTACGGATCTTGTTACTACGCTACTACTACTATTACACAATTATTACTACTATTACTATTGCCATTAATATTGCTACTCTACTATTACTACTACTATTATTACTACTGACACTGTTATTACTATTATCACAATTGCTATCATTATCTTTGCCATTGTCATCGCTATTATCATAATTACATTTGTATAAATTATTTAATAAACTGGTCCATGAAGGAGCAGTTTTTCCAGCTCATTTTTATCATAACTTTGTCGGGGAAACAAATAATGCTCGTACTTTGCGCGTAAATAAGTACATAATTTTCATACGTTAAGTGGATGGTATTTCATGCAAAAATATTCCAGAATTAGATTACCTCACGTTGTTTGCATATACTCAAAGAATGTTACAAATGTCATAATGAAACATATCTATACCTCATGAGTTTGTTTCTTTTGAACAAGGTTTTTGATGGTATGTAATACTGCTTTGTATTTGTTTCTGTAATCATTATAACTTTTTGCATACTACAAATCAGTATGTGGTTTACAGACTGAATTGATTAAAGAATTGCTGTAGGGATTGTTTAAAATATACATTTCAGGAAGGCAAGAATTTTCTCTTTATAAACCATAATAATTACAAATTAGTACGAATATTATTTAATGTAAAATGAAATATAGATATGTGGGTACACCATGAATTTTGTAGGCTTCATTTTTTGTAATTATGTATTTAAATTTTCTATGGCTCCTCGAATGTCATTAGTTAATTATTATTGTAATTTCTTTTTTTATCATTGTTATTAACGTGTATTGTTTCAAATTGAAATGATTTGATTTCGCACAAAAAGTTGCCAATAAAATACAATGAAAACAATCGTGGTAAAAGTTTCAGTAGAATGGTAGCGTTAGCGGTGTATCTCCTTTTAAGTGTGCGTATAATTCAAGTATTGTATCCACGTGTTCGAGACATTGGTTGAAAGGTAATTTTTAAAACATTTTTTGCGATAGCAATAAAGTTATTAATTTTGTTAAACAGTGTTTCATATCTAAATGTTATTTTACGTGTACTTTATAAAATGTTTATTTTTCGTTAATTTTTAATCGTCACGCGATATGTAAGGTTAGGTTACCAAAATAATTACATCGTATATTTTTTACCACTGAAACTTTTCTTACTTTTAATTACAAATGTATCATTATTAAGATGACTGTTTTCTATAAAGAAATGGAATATGAACCAGTGGATGAAGTTGTTGACGAAGATATGGATGAAAGTAGCAGTGACAGCGACGAAGAAGATTCTGTGAATGACGACGAGACTGAAGATAAAGAGGATCAAAATAATGAATCCGAAGTGTATCTTCCTGGAAAGCCATTAGAGACTTGGGAAGAACTTATAGTCGACAAAACAGCATATAGAATGTTACATCATGCACAATCTGGTGCACCTTGTCTTAGTTTTGATGTAATTTTAGACAACCAGGGTAATAATAGAGAAGATTATCCTTTGAGCATGTACCTTGTTGCTGGAACTCAAGCTGCAAAGGCACATGTCAATAATCTTCTTGTTATGAAAATGAAAAATCTTCATGGTACAAAAGACGATTCTGAAGATGAATCTGACGACGATGATTTGGATAGCGAAGGTAATGAAAGTACTCCAGTAATGACTGTCGCACCGATAAAACACCAAGGATGTGTTAATAGAGTAAAGTAAGTATATAAATACTTGTATACTTCTCCTAAGTCATGTTTTCAGCATTTATATTTAATCGAAGGGTTTAATTGAAATACATTCGTATGTTTCATCAGATATACAAAAATTGACGAAACTCCTTTAGCTGCAAGTTGGAGTGAATTAGGCCGTGTACATATTTGGAATTTAGAAGAACAATTAAGAGTACTTGACAACGAAGAGCTACTTCGGGCATATCGTAAAAAATGCGAAAAAAGCGATGGAGGCGTTAAACCATTATTTACCTTCAAAGGACATCTTTCGGAAGGATACAGTCTTGATTGGTGTTCAACAGAATTAGGTACTCTAGCTTCTGGCGACTGCAAAGGCAACATCCATATATGGCACATCGGCGATAATAATGGTTGTGCAACATGGCACGTGGATCAAAGACCGTATAATTCACATTCTCCACACAGCGTCGAAGATCTTCAATGGTCCCCTAATGAAAAACATGTACTGGCTTCGTGTTCCGTCGATAAAAGGTACTAGTTGTGTTAATAAATAATTTTCGTTAATTCCAACAGAATAAAAAATAGAAAATAGATATTAAACATAACTAACAAGGGAAGGACTCCCGCTGCCCGACTTCGATTGTATCGATCTTTCGTAAGTTAATAATATCGTAAGTCCTGGAATCGATTCTCGTTAAATAAAATTTTATATATTACGAGCACATAATAAAACCTTGATCTTAAGATCTGCGATTTACGCAACTTCTGAACCATGTACTTATAGTAGATAAAGGGGTACGTAAATTTAATTATTTAATTACTCCACAGTTGGAGTCTTCCCCTTGTAAAAGATACAGTAATTTAACACGCATTATTTTTTTATAACGGAAATGTAATTTTGATAGCATTAAAATTTGGGATACAAGGGCAAGCCCACAATCTGCCTGTATGTTGACAGCAGTCGGAGCACATACTGCTGACATTAATGTAATTTCATGGAATCGTAAAGAGAATCAATTTCTTGTATCTGGTGGTGATGATGGTTTGATTTGTGTATGGGATTTACGTCAGTTTGGCCCTAATGGTTCGAGTCCATTAGCCGTGTTTAAGCAACACACTGCACCTGTTACAACAATAGAATGGAATCCTCAGGAAGGTACAGTTTTCGCTTCCGGCGGGGCTGACGAACAAATTGCTCAATGGGACTTGTCGGTGGAAACCGATCAGTCGGAGGAGATGGAAAATAATGAGCTAAAAGAATTACCCCCGCAATTGTTATTTATACATCAAGGTCAAACAGATATTAAGGAATTGCATTGGCATCCTCAATGTCCGGGCGTTGTAATATCGACAGCACATTCGGGATTTAATATATTCCGTACAATTAGTGTATAATAAATTTAACCATTTAATAATACAATGTTTATAAGAATCTTTACACTTTTAAAACATTTTTTACCTTCTTCCACCATTCTCGAATGATGAAATTCGTTAAAAGTCTACTTTTCCCGTGTAATTTGTAATTTATTTTTTCCCGCTGCAATCGGCTGATAAATACTATTTTATTTAATATACAAAATGTAAAATACAAGTGTGTAGTTTATTTGCAAGTAAGATGTAACGATAATAGATGTCTTATAGTTGGTCTGCCATGGGGACAATTCCAAGGACTTTCCATTTGTGCCATTTGCATAACTAATTTTTGCATTTCATTATTGTTAAGAAATGTGCCGATCTTAACGGCAGCGCGACAAGCTCTTGACGCTAACATTTGACTTACTCGACTTGGACGATATATATGATTTTCTTTATTTTCCATACCACCTTCTCTAATAAGAAAAATTAGTTCTTCTATATCTTCTTGTCCAAACTGCCAATATCCACTAACTGGTATACCTATTAACTCGACGCGATGTCCAGTTTCGGCTAGAGTATAAAGTATTCAAAATTATAATATGTTATTTCTATCTCGACAAGTTTCTTTTAGAAGAAAAATTAGTAGTTCAAGTAATTTTGAATTTATTAAGTTTACCTTCAGCATCGATTTTAAAAGAAAAACCATTGTCTTCAAATATTTTCTGATGTTCAATTAGTATTGTTTCATTTAACGAAGATAAATTTAAAGACTTAGGAATAATTAATTTCTGAGTTTTTAACTGTATTTCATTATTAAGTTTTTCGTAATTAAATTTTTCGTCTGTAGCATGTTGATCAATAATAAATAGATCTTCTTCTAAGCGAGCTATTATAAAACCAAGGTTGAATTGACCTATGATCTCCATCTGCAATGAATTAATTTACTCTTTTAATGGCAATGCAGTTATTTATAATATTATGTACAAAACATAATACCACCTTGATAAATGATTCTTTCGTTAATTCTCGTTTCAATTCGTTTTCGGCTTTAGAATTTTGATTCGAATCTATTTGTGCTTTATACTTTATTTTTGTACGCGTAATCGCTTGTTTTGATATATTCTGTCTTTCTTGAAGTTTTTGTTTTATCGTTAAAATACTAATTGGCATTTCTACGCTGTCTAATATTTTTATCTGATTTATTGTATCACTTTGTATATTATCGTCGTCGTATTGTATATTCTTTTTTTCTACGTGTCCTGTACTTGATACTGTATGTAAAGTCTGCAATCTCTTTGCTGGATGATCATTTGTAGGAGAAATTGTTCTTTTCACTCCAAAGTTTAATTCAATTACAGGTGTGGCTGTTAAATTTCCTTGTAATTTGTCCCATTTTGTTATTAAATTAAATTTTAGGGTTGCTAATATTAAACGTTCTTGTGTACAGAAAATAGTTCTCTTATCTGGAGTTACATTAATATCGGTCGATTGTTTGTTCAATTTTAAATTTAGGAAGACGAACGGATATTGTTTGTTATTATATTTATGATACGTGTGGTTTATTAATTTATTAACTTTTGTGAGATCACATGGTCGACTATTTACATAAAAAAATTGTCTGTCAGGAGTAGAACGTCCAACATTATGATCACAACTACTAATATAACAATCCCATTCAAAATCCATAACTATATTACTTGGTAAGTTGTATTCTTTTAACATTGCTTCATCAGGAGGTAGCAATTCAAGTATAACTAGTCCATTAGAAGACTTTTTACCAAATATTGTATTAATATTATTCAAAATATTACTGGAACTTGTAGTGTTAACTACAAGATTAGGAGGTTTACCCGACACTGAATTAGAACACGTTATTTTTGTATCGGTAGAAACCAAACAATAACAATATAGAACTTGAATAGCACGAGTATATTCCTTTTTTATATTTTTGTAAAATTCTTTTGCCCTTACTGGAAGGCACTTAAAAATGTCTTTAATATGTATAGTTGTTCCCTTTTCTCTTGCGCATGCTTCCTTTTTTTTCAGTATACCATTATGATCAAATTCTAATTTGAAACCATGTTCACTGGTTGAATGTCTTGTAATAATATTTACTTCGGCCAAAGAACAGAGGGAACTAAGAGCTTCTCCACGAAATCCAAAGGTGTTAACTTCTGTTAAATCTGAGAATTCTCTAAGTTTAGATGTATGATGCTTCAACCCTAATTGATAAACAAAAGAGTATACTTAGATATTGTACTTAAATATTTATTTTTTTCTAAAATGTTCTTTTTAAATACAGCAATTATCTTATTATTATTTAAATGGAATAATACTCAATATAATTAATTTATATATTTTACAATAAAATTAATGTGGATTTTTATACTCTTAAATATAATGTACCTAATCCTTCAAAATCTTGTTCTAAAACACCGCTACCATTATCACTGACACTGATATAGGTTTTGCCATAGTCTTTGAGCTTAATATCAATTAATGTAGCACCGCTATCTAAACTATTCTCTACCAATTCTTTTATAGCAGTTGCAAGATCAAGAACCACCTGGAAAACGTCTTATAGTCATTAAACACATGAAATTATTGTTTTAAGATATAGTGTTAAAAGGTTAATCCTCTCACCTGGCCAGAACAAATTTGATGAACTGTTTCTTTATTTATCGCACTAATTTTCTTCGATTTTTCTGTTGTTTTAATGGGTTCTGTCATTATTAATATTTCATGCGAAAATGTATAGAACAAAAATTCTCTTCCGTTGTTATCGGATACAATAATTTCATACGGGTGAATATTTTTATCTTATTTTAAATTAAATATTCTAAACAAAATCACAATTATATTACGTTTAAGTTCACAATCTTTCTGTAAACAAAATAGTATGATTGCGATAGGATCGATAAAGTAAAATACTATGCTCGAGCAGATATAAAATTAATAAAATTTCTACAAGGTAGTTCTAACAATTTTTTAGTATCTTTATCGTTGACCTTTTCATCGTTAGTAGAATTTTATCGCGTTTTGCAGGGTATTTGATAGGAACGCTTATGCGTTTTAAGAATTTAAGCTTTTGCTACAGAGGACTATAGTATGAACCATGCTAAGCGAGCTGCAAGAATTCGATTTTTTACTGGATAGACAAAGAGACTTTCTCATCTCTTTATTTGTCATTTTGTACATTATATTGTAAATTGTTTAATTTTTAAGGGTTAACGCTTGGTTTCGTTTGTCATTGGGGTTTGGGATTATAAACAATTGTGAGAAGGCCAATATGGAGAATTATAATAAATACAACATAATTTATTATATGTTTTATTATTTTTTTTCGGGGATGAGGTATTTGTTCATTGTTTATTGTTCATTCAGCACCAAACAAACTATGTAAATAATGCTAGAACATTTCCTTGTTTCTATACCCTACACTAGAGGGCAACTTCTTACTTTCCCTACCCACAAATTTATTTATTTATTTATTCACAAGATAAACTCTTTGATACAGAGAGTAACAGGTGTTGGAGAGATGAAAGAAAATTGAAAAAATAGGTAACTAAACAAATAAAAAATATAATTAGTCCAAAAAGAATATAAAGTCACGAATCACGTATTGCAGAAATGACAGAACGTTTAAATAAAGAAAAAGAGACAAAATATGTTAGAATTCGTCACTTCTCATTTACAATTCATTAGTATACAGGGTGTTTTTGACTATTGAGTACTCCGACGTTGAAAGTAGGATCCACCAGGTAGCCCTACTGACGAATTCTTTGATAAACCCCAGGATAAAAAATTCGTATTTTCTTCCTTTTTTCCAAGTTCATCTATGCGTTGGCGTGATCTTATTGTAGTTGGGCGAAGCTGGTTAAAAATACAATTATGATTGCGTACAGTACAGTCATATCTCGAACTTACATTTTGCATAATTGGTTTCAGAATAGCTGACGTAAATTGTGGTAAATACAACTCATTTATGATTCATTATTTATTATTTGAAGAAACATCTATCGTATCGTTACTAGAAATGACATAAGTGCATATCGAGAAAACGTAAGTTCGGGTATGACAGCACTCAATATGTATTTATATTTAAGTACGTATGTTCACACGCAGTGACGTTCTGTGGCGTCATCTGAGTTGCTATCCTCTAATTAAAAAAGTAGTAATAAATTATACAAAATCCAAACTGAAAATATAATATAGTAAGGTAACAATGTATTAATATAATGGTATACAATTAATAATATTTTGCTATTGTAATTTGCAGCTGCTTTGAGCGAAACCAAAGAAAATTAAATTGGCGGGATTATTAAGTAAGCAGTACAGAAGATGGCGCCAGAGTAATGGTAAGCAAGCCACTTTGAACGAATATACGAATAAGCTATCGCCAATCACAGTCCTCAACAGAGATTTGGCCTTCTCTCGAGGTCTCCTTATCTGGGCTACATTGTTTCTTTGTAAATCACAAGTAGTCAAATAACAAAAGGATTTTCGGTTTTACGTTCCATTTCCCCTATTAATACGTTAATTAAATAAACGAATTATATATTTCTAGCATCCGAAATAAGTTCTTCAACATATTGGAAAAGAATAAATTCGTCAAGTCCATGTGAAAATCATATTCAAAGCAAGTGTTTTGAACGTCAACTTTGTCATCGTCGTTATCGCTGTGCACCTGTCATCTTCGTCGTCATTATCGTCGTTATGACGATAACGACGGCACACGTGCAATTTACAACACAATTTCTCATGTATAAAAAACTGAACATTCTTTTCTCAAAAAGATAAAACGAAGAAAAAAAGTAAAAAACCTCAAGGACAAAAATGAAAATACGTTCGCTGGTGTTACTTTGTTTAAACAATGCTTATAATAAATTTTTGAAAATGTTCTTTTAACAGTATGCCCCCGTTTAAGAATGACAAAATTACGTTTGAGACATGTTTTGTTTTATGCTAGATATGATAGATTTATACTATTGTTGGCACACGGACGTCAGCTGACTGCTCACGCGAGACTGCCATAATTCTTTCTAAAATTATATAAAAACTATAAGTTGGATCGTTAGGGCATAATTAACGTTCGCGCGCCAGCAATAGTATAAGTCTACAATCATTGAAATACAATGTTGTGAACGATGGACATAGAAATATGTTGTGTATGTATAACTTGCTGAAAGTTATTTGAAAAATAAAAAAAAATTTTGTTCCTATGGGACATGAACCTAATTCAGAAGAATAGCACGCAAAACGCATACCGCCGAGCCACAACTACTTATGATAAAAAAGTACAGTTATGAATGCTCACTTACCAACCGGTTAAAACATTGACCCTCGTTTTTTAACGGGTGGCCATCTACGTTTAAAATCACGCTTATAACTTGAATACATAGAAACCTAGTACTCTGTAAAATTTGATTATAATCGGCATGAAATGTTCTTGATCGTCTTTAAAAATTTGAAAAGCTGTATTATATAATAATGTGAGAGTTGTCAGAAAAGAAAACTAATCGAACAATAAGTAGTTTTTTCTGATAATGAAAGAATAGAGATAAATAAAAAATATTAATTACATCGCAGATGGAGTTGGCAAACCTGAGAACTGTCGAAGACCACATGAAAAAGGAGAAAGTATAAAGGGGAAGAGGGGAAGATTAGATCAGAAGCGCCACAAAATGGAGAGGCGGACGTTTCATGAAACACTCGGCATGGATCGAGCTCCATGTTCGCCCGTGAAAGTGATGCGGTATCTCCGCGATTAGGGAATACAAATCTCGTATCTAACGAAAGGACGTTGAACAGTTTGTATGCGTTAGTTTGTGACTCGGTATTAGGAATCGGTTGTTCCGAGGACGGTAAGGTTAGTTTAAAGGTGTGTAATATTCACGTGTGTCGGAGTAGCGTGGCGAAGCGATTGTTGGTCTCGTCGCAGTGCACGAGCAAAACTACGCAAAAGCCTGACACGGCAACACGAAGTAATAAAATTTTGTCGAAAGTACATATCAAAATCAGTAAGATTAGGAATAATATTGAGGAGAAGGCCGAAAATAACGTTAATAGTGGTGGCGGCGACAGCGACAGTGACGGCAACGACAGCGGTGGCGCAAGGTGTGAGGACGAGGTGAATGCACGGCGGCCGCGGTGTGTGCCAGTGGTGTGCGCGCTCGTCGCTCGTGGAAACCCGCCAAAACCCGCGGCCGCGAACAACCACCAGCAAGAGCAGCAGCAATAGCAACAACAACAGCAGTAGAAGGAAAAGGAGAAGGAGAAGGAGAAGGAGGAGGAGGAGGAGGAGAAGGTGGAACAGCATTAGTAGTAGTAGTAGTAGTGGTAGCAGCAGCAGCAGCAGCAGCAGCAGCAGCGGCGGCAGCAGCAGCAGCAGCAGCAGCAGCAGCAACGGTGGCAGAAGCAGCAGTAGCGCGCGACGTTGTGCTGTTTTGACAACTTTCCGCCGCGTCGGGGCGTCGCGCCGTTTTTCTCGCGGCGGCGGCGGCAACGGCAGAAACAACGACAACAGCTTGTTTTAAGAAGGTTGCTCGTGACGGCGGTAACGGCGGCGACGCTGCTGACCCCCCAGCCCATACAACGACGACGACGGCGGTGGCAACGACGACGGTGGTGGCGGCGGCTGCGTTCTGTTATTATTTTGCCGCGGTGCTTTTGACCCTTCGAACCGGGCGAGTTCATTGCAGTGCTTCCGCGGGGGTGTTAGCCAGTTTTATTACTCCGGCCTTCTCCGTCCGCAGCAGCAGCGCCGACGGCGCCAGAACACGATATGGTATATGCAGCATGTCTACTAGTGTACGTACTCGATCGCACCAATAATCAGACACGTTGAAGCGCCTATTCACAGGGCGAAAAGTCGCCGACAAGCTCTGAACACTGACCCCGGTGTACAATTCGAACGAGTCAATTGAAAAGGACTGTATCAGTGACGTTGCAACTGAGAAAGGACGCGACGAACCACGTGATATACCTGTCGTTGGACCGCGTCATGCAAAGCATGCTCGACTCCCCGATGGCCATAACCTGAATTCAGCCGATTTGACCCGATTAAACCCGATTCAATGTATTCGTACATGAACGATCAAGCGAATGAACGAATGACAGAAAACAAACGGTAGCCATTGACATTTTTCGTCTTTCCTCGTGCTTGCGCGTTTTATTACGCGGTGTTCTATTACTCGATCCAGAACGCGTTATTCTTTTTTCAGTCGAACCGTGAATCCGTTCGATCATGTGCCACGAGTGTACAGTGCCTCGATGGTACTCGTCTAACAAAAAGTAAATCAAAAATTTCAACGGAAAGAGGGTCAGCCTGCTAAACTCGTAACAGGTGACTAGGTGGACAAATGGACGGATTAATTGTGATACCCGTGATATTTCTCGTTCTTTCGGTGTTCTCCTACGCCGGTGATAACTTGAAATAATTGTGCTGTGGTGTATTGTGCACGTAGTGTCATTGGTACAGTGTTAACCGTTACGTGTAATTGTTGAAGGTGGTGGCGTGGGAGTCCGACATTTTAACCGCTCGTATTCACGAAAAGATACAAGTGTCCACGTGTGAAATACGGTCGGTACTTCAGGGGCGTGGGAATCATACGTCGAGCTTACATTTACGAAGGTTCTTCAGTGCTGTTTACAGATACGAATTTTATCACACGCAGTTAATATTTGATTTCATGCTCACGATTTGTTTATTTTTCCATTATCGCGGCCACACTGTTGATTACCAAATGAAAAGGTGTCAAGCACGGCCTTTAGAATGAAGGATTTTAAGCAAGAACAAACGAAGGGAATTTAGTGATTTCATCGACGAGAAGAAACAAATCGGCATTTTTCAAAGACAATACGAATATTGACAGTTCAACGACATTGTTCAACACTTCTACACTCGTGCTTTGTACTTTTTCGCAAGTGTTTGACAGTACTCGGCCAAGTGCGTGACAATGAAAAATACCTGGTGAGTTCAAACTTTTATATCTAATTCCAACACATAAATATAACGTATATATTTTAAACAATTATTCGAAATAAGAAAGGAATTGGGGGATTAGTAGATAAGACGAAGTAAGGTTTTCCGCTTCCATTCCGAATTCTAAATGCATTTGTAAAAAAAAAAATCGATTCATTTTATCTTTATTTTTTTTAAACAAAAGGTTAACTTTTCCAATTGTGTAATTATTCGGTGTATTCTAAAACGTACGTATTGTATCAAGAAGGTAAATTAGTTAGTCTTCTTCGTATGGTAGTTTCGCCGTGTTTGCATTTATTTATTTATGTCGGTTAGTTTTTGCGATCCTTTTCTTTTTTCGATTCTTTAGTTCTTAAAAATCATCATTTTATAAACTTTGTACATCATATGACTTCTAGATGCTACTTCTAGGTTAGGTTACTGATCGTTACTGCTTAACCTCAAAAATTGTCACGAATTATTTCTTTACTTCTGCTGACGTTTTTACATTTATTACTTGTAATTAATGATGTATGTTAATAAGGGGAAACGTAAATTTACACATTTTAACAGTTTTATTTTAATTGGTGCATATAGAAATTATGAACCAATCTTTTTGAAAGGATGGACTGTATTAATGAATGTATAATTTCATGTGTTTCTTATAAATATGCAAATGTCATACAATTTTTGTTAAATACGTTACACTTTATCATTATTTATTATAAACTTCAATTTTCTACTTGCATATGGATAGAAGAGAAAAGATGATTGTAATGGGCATGTTCGAGATCGTTATGTTATCAGAAGAGTAAAATGATGTTATAGTTTCTTAAATGAAGCTATATATATCATAAATAATTTTATTGCTGCAAATAGTAAAATATATTTAAAAGTACAGCATATGTGTATTAGATTGACTATTAAAACAATGAAAATTAATAACATTACAATGTTTAATATTATTATTACTTTTGTTTTACACGATTAAAGTCAAGTATATATACATTCCTGATTATGCCTTTTTAGAAATTATGTCCTAAGCTTTCTTCCATTGAAAGAATTACTATAAATTTAACTAGTTTGAATTAAAGTTAGTCCGAATTACTTGAGACAGGTCAGTTTTATATTCTGGAAATTTTATTTCTCATGTATCATTAAATTAATTCTTTGCTGAAGCGTATTCAAAATTTAGAGATTTTTAGATTATTTATAGATCAAAGAAATCTGTGATTCGTTTAGGTATTGAATGAAAATCATACGTAGAATTCAAGTCAAAGGATACAATTAAAAACATAAAGTGTTGAAGGTATAACGTAACATTGTTTGAATAGTGTTTATTTTGTATAAATCTGTATCATTCTATACACTTCCATATAATGCACTACATTATATAATGTGCCAAATTTGAAATCAACTTGTGTTCAACAAATTTTAAAGAGATATTGTGTTTAAGAACAAAATATTTATATACTTAAATTTTATCTTATTATTATTCATTCGTTTCCTTATTAATGATTAGATTGTCGCTTTATAGTAATATTGACAGACCAAGTAAATATGAAGTGTGGTGCTTCGTCGATAGTTACAATTGATGTTTTTTCTCACATAAGAATAAATAACAAGTAATCTAACTTTAACAATTAAATGAAAATACAAATACGGTAAAGTATTAAATTCTATATTTTCGATTAACTAATTCTAAAACGCATAATTCAGTTTATATATACACGTACATATAGTTTCAGTTAGAGAGTACTTTGTTACAGTATTATTTTAATAACAATCCCCCTATGATAATTATAAGTAAGTTACAGTTAAATTATAAGTTTATATGTAGATTGCAATGAATTCTTAAAACATAACGTTCGCTATGTGACACAGTTATATGTTACCATAGGTCATATACGAATTTATCAAATTTTTCTAATACAATTTATATTTGATTAAATTAACATATACAGGGATGATGTATCTAGAATATATTGTACATTTTATAAAAAGTCTCGAATCAAATCAAACCACATTTATTAATTGTAGCTAACAGAAGGATCCTGAACATATAAAAATTGCGTACATTGTAATAATGATTACCATCTGTATTTAAACATTCTTTACAAACACATCTGTATTTTAACTATTCATTATACTATATTAACAGAGTTGGGTAAATTTTACTCACAAATAACGAATAATAATTTTATTTGTAAATTGAAACCTATTGCCGGACTTTTTAAATTTATATCCAGGTAAGCGAAGCAATGTGTGAAAATTAGTTCACGAATAATATATTTTTATTCGTTATTCGTGAATAAAATTTTCCTAAATTTGGTGTGTGTGTATACATGTGTATAATTGTTCAGCGGTTCCAATGGTTGTTTTATTCGGACTTTGGACGTCCTCCCGCAAATCTAATTAAACGTTTGATTAAAAAATCAAATTATTTGGAGTACTTTTCTTTTCACTAAATAAGTCTATGTATAACGCATCCTACGTGCGCGTATGCGGAAACGACGCATCTAATAATAGGCGACACGTTTACCGTCGACACTTATTGGGTAGCTTACTTACGAGACATATTCCGAAAGTAATGAGTCTGACGTTATAAAATGTATTTTATCGGTATTGGAGATCGCGATTGTTATCTTTCCGAGTAATTTCTTTTACTTTTGTTCAATCGCAAACCGACATTCTTTGTGATTTTGTCAATATTGAGACGTACATATGTTTCAATACTCATTTCATTTAGAACTCATTGTAGTAATCTTTTATCAATATCTTTTAATATTATCAATAATAAAAATTGCGACAAAAATTTTGAACACGGCCACCCTTGGAAACTAAATGACCAATGTTTGTTTACATTCTATGATATTCGAGAATCTTTTGTTATCAGAGTTCGAATACTTTTGTGAGCCACTTATGGCACGTTCACAATAAATATACCGTCGAGTTATTTTCTAACTTCACTTACGTATCATATCGTGTCAAATGCTTCGGTTCAACATACATATTTCATTAGCTGAATGTTAGATGCGTTCAAATACTTTTTTGCACGAGTGTAGATGTCAGTCGTCCGTAGTTGTAGCGTTAAAACAAAAAAGCGGTAAGAGTCAGTGTCGCGTACAACGTCTAAACGAGTATTCTCTTAGGCCGCAAACACTGTGGAAGCAGGTTACCCGTTTTCCGGTTAAACTCGCGCCAATCGGCGCTTGTCTGCACAAGAATAATTCTGCCGACCGTCGCTGACAAGCTTCGTTTGTTTTCAAACGTGCTAGGAAGTAGCTATCAATTATACAACGGCTCGCAAAAGTGAAAAGAAATTCGCTTAGCTTAATTTTATTACCATTTCCATGCAAATCTGTTCCTTTTTTTTTAATGCAAATAAAGCACATTTACCGCGAGACACGAACATGGGCCGTTCTTCAAAGTTCTATCTTACGTCCATCTTCTTGTAACACTAGTTACGTATTTCTCATCCAAAAAATGTCAGGATAGATAAAAATATACGATTTTTTACGGATATCTTTAGGGAAATTCTGTGAATACCGTAAGAATGAAATTTGAAGTGTCATCGATCAATGGTTTCATTATCACACATTATTGATTGATACCTAAGGTCTTTAATAATGTAAAATATGTTAGAGACAAGAGGAATTAATGAAACTGATCTCAAAATAGATGATGTTCGGCTATCTCTGGGAAAAATTTTAATGGTTGATTTTAGAGGCCAAAATAAGACTAAAATCAAGAATACCAATTTGTTGATTAAGGCTTCGTTTAAAAGTTATTAACGTTTAAATAATTGTATTATTTGCTTGATCTTTGAATTTTCTAAGACAGAAAATCTCACTTGATTCGTTATTATACATTTCTGGATTGTATAATCTTCCTCTTCTGCCAATAACGATAATATCATTAACGATTGCATAGTGAAATGTGTGTTTGTTTTTGATTTCAGACACCAGCATCGAGAATCATGGACGTTGACAGTGAAATCGAATGAGAGATCTTTCTCCGAAGGGGAATTTCCAAAGCAAGAAGAAAAGTGAACTCTCGTAGCGATAGAAAGAAAGGGGGAAACAGTGAATCGGCGACGCAGTCGGCAAGAGCGAGTAAAGTTGGTTGAAAGGACGGAAAGAAAGTTACAAACGAAAGGAATTGGAGGAGAAGGGAGTAGCCAAAAGCGTGTGTACGCATTCGTGGATCGCGTAATAAAAAGGGAGAGAGAGAGAGAGTGAAAAAGAAAAAGACTCAGTGTGTTTGTAAATAAGAGTTATTTTTCGTATGAGAGAAAAGGAGATACATCTACGTCGAAACGAGGGGAAACGAGCAAGAAGACGTTTAGAAGTCCTTGAACGTAAGAAGGTTCCGTGGACTTTCTCTCTCTCTCTCTCTCTCTCTCTCTCTCTCTTACAAGGATATACGAAAAAAGTTAGAACATTAGCGACTAAAGGAACGAACGGAAGGAAGGAAGAAAATGAAGAAGGAAGAGATACAGTATTACGATTAATGAGTCTTGTTTTTATGTTCTTTGTACGAAATCGATTGTGTTTTTTCCGCTTCTAAGCTGAAATTCGAAAGGGACTGAAAAGTTTTCGCGAAAAAAGCGCGCACGCGCGCGTGCGAGAGAGAGAGAGAGAGAGAACGCGCAAACGGGAGTAATATAAAAAAAAAAAAAGGAGAGAAGGAAAGAAGTAGAAAGAGAATTGACGAAAGAAGCTGAAGAAACGAGCGTGTAGTGATTAAGAAAAGAAAGGGAAAAGAAAGAGACCGTGAAAAAGAACACCTGGGAAAGCAGAGTTCAAGAGAAAAGAAAGGAAGAAGAGGAAAAAAGAAGCGTGTGCGGCGAAGAAGGGAAAGAAGGAAAGAGAGAGGGTGCGCGCTGTGAAGCGGTATTGAGAGGGAGGGCTGGCGTGCCCCATGTTGTGAGCGTCTGAAGACTGCCGGGGGCAGAAGTGAAAGGGTGGTAGGGGGGGGGGAAGGGTAAGGGTGCCGCTGGTATGGAGTATGGAAGCGGCGGGGGTGGAGGCGGTGGAGGCCGTGGGGGTGTCCAACCACCCTCCGCAGCGGCGAGGGGTATGGCGGGGACAGATACTACCGATGCTGCGTGGCACAAACACGAACAAATGATCCTTATGGAATCCAGGCATAAGCAACAATGTGAGTATAGCGCCTAAAAATTATGCCCTCACTTTGCAACTCGCCCCAATCGCCGTTTTAACTTTCGCTTTTATTTATAGGGTTATCCGAACCGAGCGTCGCATCTTCACATTGAAATAAAACGCAAACTGTTTCAGTGATTCAGGGTTTTTTTTCTCGATATAAACTGACCATTTCGTTACGTTATGGAGGTCTGCTCTCAGGTTTGCCGCTACAAAAAAATCAGTCGTCTTTGGGGATTTTTTGTCGGGAATACTATAAGACTTTTGGAGTCGCACATCTTGGCCATTGTTTTATCTATCTTTTGGCTATATGTATGAATTTTTTTTTTATTACAAACAAGTAAAAATTGTGGAAGTTGTAGAAAGATAACTGTACAGTGTAATGTTCTACGATGATTTGTTTACGTATAACAAAGAATAATCAAACAGTTTAGCGACGTTTATTGGAAGATGCGGCATTTACTCTGGATAACCCTTTATTTGACTTTCCGGGAGAAGATAAATCTATTTTGTTTTGATCGATAAAGCACGTTTATGTGTTAAAAACAATATGAAACGTAGGATATTAGGATAAGCTAAGTGAATATATTTTTGGATGTAAGCCGGGACGGTCATCCGATGCCGAAAGGTGCAGATCAGAATAAATAATAAAAAAAATAGTTATTTAAACGGAACTTTTCGTCTATTCCAATATTGATTTTCAACCAGCACTGACAACGAACTCTTAAGTCTATTTTTGGATGACATTCTTTCTACCACGGTGGACGAAATCTCTACAACACTACTATTTTTAATGAAAATTGCAAGAATTTTGATAACAATATTAAAGAAATAATTGCGGAATAATAAAAAGCAGCTACTATACCAGCGTATAGTATAAAATGTTTAGAATTCTAATTTTATTCATTTGCTTCTTCAATTTAACTTCTGTTGCAATAAATAAAATTTCTCTGAGTTAATTCTGGACCGTTTCGCGGAGACGATGACCACGCCACAATATTTCTATGCATACAAAATTGTTCAACAATTACTGTTTTGCGTTAGTAACATTGCACGCAAAACAGACTCGCCGAAACCATCGAGGAGTCGAATACGAGCACCTTTGTGTTCGCCGACTGGCGATCGCCCAAATCTGTTCGCCGCAACAGGCGACATCCATTGTATCGAGATTTTAAATATTTATAAACGCGATTCAAAATTGTTCAGAAAACACCGAGCCCGGTCTTACTTTCATCAGGAAAAAGTCTCGTAAATCCCTCGTCCATAAGTCACCGGACATTTAGTATCCAGAAACGAATAGGGTATCTCATCTTTTTGTGGTTTATAGAAAGAAAAAAAGAGAAGAAAATTTTTTCCACAAATTAGATTCTACGAGAAATGGTTTGGCTCAGCTAGAATTCACATACGAGAGCTAGGTTGTTCTATATCATTTTTATCGATTACGATCCATACAATTCCATGTTTCGAAATAAACAAGAAGAAAAGGGAGTCTTATCAGCGTCGATGAGATTATGTTCCAAAACTTCTCTGCTTATCTTGGTTATCGGTCGATTTAGAGTTTGTATGTATTTTGCTTTTAATGAAAGTATCGATAGAGGTTCCATGCGTCGCGGTAATGGTAAGGGAGCAATGATTCATACAAAAATAAATATGTGAGCGGAGAGGAGAGAAAGTCTGATTATAAGCACCGAATCAACGTTGGCAATAGCATAGTGGGATCCATTTTTGGACCGATGCCTAATCGGCGACTCTCGAAAAATTCAAAGACTTTAGGCTAGACCGTTCGGTCGGCTACTGACTGATATGTATTTTCGACTTGGCAGTCTGTCCCCCTACCTATTGTGTCTTTGTCTTTCTTTTCCTTCTAACGTCATTTTGTATTCTTCGTTCGAAGAACCGGCACAGCCAGGCGTTGAACTTGTAAGGAGGAAAAACAATCGTGTTCTTTTTCGAGCGGGAATTTGAAAAACAAAAGAGTACCGCGCGCGGCGCGATAAAGTCCTAATTCTTTTTTCGTTTTTAACTGTTCATAGACGCGTCGACCGCTCGAATGGGTTATTAGCGACCAACTACCAACTACTAATCAGAGTTTTTGGAACGATCTTTGGTATAAAATATAGATAAACAATCTTGAAACTGTGCATACATGCTTCTTGGTTATGTTTGGAAATAACACAGATCAATTTTTATACCGTTATCTTTATTATTATTTAAATAAATGTTTCTTGCGGTATAGTATTTTAAATGAAAAACGATGCAAAGAAAAATCTTTTTAACAAAATTATTACACGAAAATTGCACTGTGTTACCTTGACAAATTTTAAAATACTTGCTCTATAATTATGCAATAATTCTTTATTTAAAAAATCGCCTGAAATCAATATTCCTGAAATAGGAATACCTTAAGTTCGTCACGCGCTTGTGATTAGATCGCTGAGCGACCACTAGTGACCAGAGCCTATACGAGCTCGTACGCACGTGGTCGCCGGTGACTGACTTCGATTCTGGTCGTCCGTCGATTGGTCGCTGGCAACTTAATCGACAGTGCGTAACGGTTCTTAACCCTGTCTCTATCAGCGACGCCAGCCAGTTGCACGTTGCTCGCGGGAACCTACGTGGCTTATAGTTGTTCGCAATGATTCCGACCAATGTCGGTTACTTAAATTCAAGTTCGAGGCAATGCACGAAATTCCAAGACGTCTTCGTTACTTTCCGACGGACGTACAACATTTAGAAGCGTAAGAGGCCAGTACTATGTACATGCACACGCGCGATGACAATAAAAATCGTTCGCAATGTATTCGTACACCCCATAAACCGGAACTGCCAAATATTTTGCGCGCAAATCGTGCGAATATATAGCAAATAGCGTAGTTTTATTTTTGTACGAAACAAACTGCTGTAACTTTGCGGATAAATATTATAGTAAATTTATACTTTGTAAATACGGTGAATTCTACGGTTCTCGTAATATCGAACGTCCGAGTTTATAAATATTCACGGTCCTATTGTTTTGTAACGTCGAACAGATAGTTGGAACAACCAAATGAATACAAGAAATTATTTATACAGGGTGTTCGACCACCCCTGGGAAAAATAAGACGAAAATCGAGAATATCAATGTGTTGATCGAGACTTCGTTAAAAAGTTATTAACAAAATTAAATTAAAAAATTTTAAATCATTCACGGAAAAATTATTTTCGGTTACAGGGGTCAAGTACAATCATTTTTGGTCAATAGACATACCCCCGAAATCCTACGCATTTTCGAGAAAAAAATTCTTTACCGAAAATATACCGTGTGGCCGGAAATGTTTCTATAACTTTTTAACGAAGCCTCGATCAACAAATTATTGTCCTTGATTTTCGTCTTATTTTGGCCTCTAGAATCTCCCTGTATACAAAAGTTCTTACTATTCGACTCCAAACAATTTTTAATATAATTATTTTAATGCAAAGATGGAAATCTTGAGTTTACTCTCGGATATCTGACAAGTCCGTGTCCGAGTGTTAAAAAACCTGTGGAAAAATGTGTCCATGGTAGATCGGGAGCAGCGTCGTCGGTGGTAGGACGCGTGTGACCGTGCGTCGATGTGTGTATCTCGTGTGTGAGTGCGGCCACGCGCTCAGCTGACTGGGATTCAAACGGCGCAGGCCGGAAGTCACACATGTAAATTTGATGCGCTCGTATCTCGGTGACGAAGCCTCCGATCGCAAAATAGTAAATGACTTTTCGATTTATACTGGCACGGTAAATTGATCCTTAAAAAAGATACCACAATTTCGGGCAACACCTCGTATACTTTGATCATTTTGTTAGTCGGTGGATCAAAGTATTTTTTTTTTTTTTATGAAACATCAGTGGACTTTTAAAAGCAAAGTGAACCACTTAAAACAGAGGGGGGAATAATTAAGGTTATAAATAAACACAAACACACAGAAATAATGATTAAAATTTACTCAGGTTTTAAGAGTTTCGAATAAAAAATGATCTGATGTATATTAAAATTACACGACAAAAAGTGTTTGTTCGGTAGCAGATTTTGTTATTTATTTGAGCGTGTAGATTCAGCTGCTCGGGTATTTGCTTGTATCTTTGGAACGCTCTGTACAATAGACACGCAAAGTATAAAGGTACGACGATCTATGAATGGAAGAGAAACGTACAGGTACGAACAAACGGTGCCCGGAACGACGGGGCATATTTCTCGAAGTTGAGCGAAGAAGCATTGTGCTTTTTCGAGATTGATTATCCAACTGGTCATTTTCTTTCGCAAAGTATCGGTGATCGGCTCGGGGGTAAAGATCAGAGAAAAATCTCGTTGAAACGTACGCTTAGGGGAGCGTTGGGGAAGGGTAGTAACGCTTCAATTTTAGAATACGATTACACAAAGGCGATTGCATTTACGATAACAATTTTTACGCGAACATGTTGCATACTTGTTCAACGTTCCTGAGCTCACAGCTTTCGAGCATATCAAGAAACCCTTATTTATACTTCTTCGGAACTCGTCTTACACAAGACAAGGCGTCCAAATTTTTTCGAGATGTTGTAGCGGGGTTGAAAAACACTAGTTCAACGTACTATGGAGGCGTCGAAAATAACCACCTTGCGTTCTATACTCGACCACAAACCCGAGGACGTATTATCATTGGCTGTCTTATTTGTCCAGGTATTGTTCACGGACTAACAAAGGTTTGTGGATTGGTACATAATACGGACATCGTACACGGAAGGGTTATCGTATACGTTTCACGTTACAAGCGTAAGCGTAAGCGTTGGAATACTTTGGGTGTACGCGAGTGCACGTATCAAAAAATTTCCGGTTACCGTTCGATATTTAAAGATATTTAACGCGTTGCCGGTGTCCCCGGGTGGAGTAATCGGTTTTGCCCGTTTGTTCTCGCGGGAGAAGTGTTGGGGTGAAGATAAGCGAAACGCGTAAAAGGGAGGAGGAATAAGTTGTTAGGAGTCGCGGTCACCTGATTTCAAGGCAACGTACCCCCGTCTTCTCCGGTTCGTCCTCGATACTTTCTATTATAGCCTATGGTGTTGATATACAGACGACAGAGGCCCTGTTCACGAAGGGCTACTCTCCTTTCACATTTTCCGTCTCATTCTCCCGTCGCAACTCGCGCCAGTATAGAAGACAGACCAGCCAGTCGGTCGGCGGTTGCTCCACCCCCGTGCGACACGATCAATACGCGACTCTCCTCTTTTCCTAGCGCGCTCACCCCCTATCTCATTCACACATACGCGCGCGCGCGCGCACCAACTTTCTCGTTTTCCCTCGCCCACTCCTTTCCTCTTTCCATGCACGTCGTACAGCGGAGCCTCCGTAGTCAGTAACGGTAACAGCAAGAGCAAGCAACACCACCGGCAACAGCACCAGAAGCGCTCAACTGTTCGTTTTGAAGCTGTCTTTCTGTTGCTATGCTGGCTGCCCTTATCCACTCCTCTGTTTCCTCTACCCTCCCGTCTCCTTCTTCCTCCTGTCGAGCTCTTTTTCGTGTGCTGTCGTCCTGCAGGATAGATCCTGCGTCGCTTCGACCCGTGTTATTTCTTTTCCGTTACTCCTTACTTAACCAAAATCGTACCCTCTCTCTCTCTCTCTCTCTCTCTCTCTCTCTCTCTCTCTCTCTCTCTCTCTCTCTCTCTCCCACCCGTTAGATCGTTCTTATCGTCTGACCACCTTTTGTGTTTACCATTTTTTTTGTTATTGTTGTTGAAACGTTGACTGGGCAAAATTGTTTACAATTGGCAACAATTGTAAAATTGTAAATAACGATATTATGAATGCTCTACGGTAACAGGTACACCAAATCGTCTCTGGATATGAAAGAATACCTTCTCCCTCGTAAATCGTTCTTATCCACGCCTTTCTTCTTATCTCTCCTGTTTATCGTTTTTTGTCGACTGGCACGGTCACCGGTGACCGGCGCTTCAAAGTTGCAGCGTGTCGCTAAATTATTTACAGTGGAAAAACCCCAATGTAAAATCGCGAATAACGATACTGGCATTGAGAATGCTGGTAAAATAAGAGCTCGTTGAATTATCTCTAGATATGGAAAACTGGCGTGGCAGTCAATTATATCTTCTAGGAAATAGGCTACCGCTTATAAATATTAGGACACTTGAAACGTTGCTAATTTTTGGATTATTTTAAAGGTTGAACCTTCTTACTTTCACGTTCCCCAAAAATAAATTATTATGAAAAACAGATTAGTGTTATGCATGACCTACTCTACTTGTAAACAAGATTTCCCAACGCAAGGAATCCCCCCATCCCTAGAAATTAGAAATATCAAAGTTTTGGTCGTTCAACATATGTCAATGAATAAAAAAATCACAATTAAAATAATAGATTTTGTTAGCCAATGAAGAAGAGGAGCGGGGGGGGGGCGAAGCCCCTGTATCCCCCCTTGCTCCATTGAATACAATTCTAGTAATATTAAATATGAAATAAAAATAATTATTAATTTTCTTAATATAAAATATAAGAAAAATATTTATTTTGTTTGTAATAATTTTACATACACTGTAATGTACAAAATAAATGATCAGATTATAATTGAAATAGTATGTTGATAAGTAAAATTGTTTTTTATAATATCTACGATTAACCGAAAGTTCAGTGAATATATATTTTTACAACATGATTTAATTCTAATAGCTCCGATAAATGCGTCCACTATAATTACCAAAACAAAATAATGGTTTGATTATTCGTTGAAATCTGCTTTTGCTTCTCAGAGAAACTTCTCAGTAGTCTTCAATCTCGTATAATACGGTATTTATTAAAAACGTAACAACCGTGTTGTACGGAGATTGATTGCATAGTATTGTGTACGTAATATCGAATGACTTGTACGTACATACGAACCGAAGATGGTAGCAATTTTGAATGTAATAAATTATAGTTATAATTTTATTAGAAGTAGCAATTTCCGGTTATTATGATTGTGTTGATACATTTTACCGCAAGTCTAACGTGGGGTTGCGAAAAGGACTAATGGAGTAAATGTAAATTTTACTAGACAAGTAAAAACTGTAGTAACTGGGTTTCTTTTTTGTTTGCAACATAATTTCACGCGTTTACGATCATGCTTCGAACGTATATTGTTTATATTTGAGTACGTTCGAAGAAAGTAATCGATGTTGGAGCAAGCTTTTTCTGAAACAAGGATATATTTGGAAAATATTATTAGAGAGAGTTATTAAAAGATAAGGATCGAAGTAGGTTAAAGGTAGCACGTGCCCTTTTGACACTCGTAGCAAGCAGTTGCACTAATCGCCGGTAACAGAGCCTTTGTTCGACCGCCGTGCAGGGGTTCCCAACGCTCGGAGCCACCCTGGATTTACAAGTTCCACAACCCCTAGCAATAACAACGAAGCAACTGAAAAGAGACACAGGTTGTTTGCATCTGAAATGACCTATAAATTGGTCAGATATCGAATAAGTACACGAAAATTAGTTTCTCGTTTATTATCTCGTAGAGTACAGCGAACAAAAAAAAACGATGCTTGGGAACAAAGTATTTGGCATTAAAAATTTTCCAAGAAGACCAACGATAATTTGCCTCCATAGTTCAGACGTTAATGTAATTTTATAGTTCCGTACCAAGTATTCATCCCTTAACGATTTCTGTTTCATTTGACCGTTCGAGGGATGAAAATAATCATTTTCTTTCAAATTTACTCATTGCAGCTTGAAAACAATTACAATCGAGAGGTCAATGATTTCTTGTAGTTTCTTAAATATTATCGTTCCAAGTTCTCGACATTTGTCATTGAAAATAGTGATGTTTTTATAGAAATTTCGTCCACGGTATTTAGAAATACCTTGCGGGGTTAGTTTTAGAGAATCATTGTATATGGGTGAAAGTCAATCTATATCAAGAAACATGAATGAAGCGGAATGCGTGCCGGTTATCGCACGACCTGTGTTAGACTTCGTGACCTCGTTGCGTGAATTCTCAATCACATGCACCGTAACATCGTGCATATGTGCTCCGCATTCCGCGGCTAAACTACTTTTAAGCCGACCTGTACTTACCGGCATCGAGAACCAAACGAATTTTAAATATCTCTCGAATTTAAATAATCTCTCGAGAAACATCGAACACACGATCCACGCGACGAGCGAAACGGATAGATCCGCCGGTTCATATAAATCATGGGGGTCGTTGGGGCCTCGGTAGCAAACAATTTCTAGTCGTCAGCGATTAAGAGAATTAGACCCCTTGGCTTACGATTTATTTTTAAGGTAATCGTTCTATATGGACCATTGTTATAAATAAAACTGACGCGTTTCGGGTTTAATTGAATCCCCAAAACTATTTCCAAACGAGATGTTCCCCAAATATCGATGACTGTCCATTCTGCACGTTCTCGAATACAGCGAAAGAAAAAGTTACGTTACGGTTTCCGTGATTTTAAATTAGGTTCAAATTCCAAGGGGGTTGTTGTAAAAGTAAGGTTACGTTGGTTGTGCGTAACAAATTGTAAATGATACCCGGTATTGAGTCTCCGTTTGTACTCGTTTATAAAATAATAAAAAATATTTATTAATTGCTCGTGAGAGGGGGTTGAAGCATTATCGACGGTATAGTTGTCTCGATAAATGAGATACTAATTGAAAGGCTTGGAAGGAAAGCGATGGGGACACTGTGTCCCATGGATCTTAACGATTACGACTAATTGTGTGGTGTTTGATTTTCAGTAAGCGGGAGGGCGGGAACGGGCGGAGGCGGGGGTGGCGGTGGTGGAGCACCCCTTTATGGTCGTCTAGTAGCTGAGGAGCCCTTACCCCCCACGGTATGCGGGGGGACTGGTGTCGGTGGCGGGGCCGGTGGGGTTCCTCAAGAAACTCCTGCGGATATTCACGCCATGCAAGCCAGGATACCCCATAGGTTTCGTGATCCAGCCACAGCACCCCTTAGGAAACTCAGTGTCGATCTCATCAAAACTTACAAGCACATCAATGAGGTAAAAGAATGTTTCACGCGAATCGATCGTATTTTAATTATGTTTCGCGTACCCCTTCGCACTTTCCGGTCCCGGACGTTTCTTTCTTTTTTCTCTATTTCCATGCATCTGTTTCCACCAGAACTTGGGAACTGTTATAACCTAGGTTTTAGGTTCCTGAAAGTAACATCCAAAATGAAAATAATGTTGCTTAATTTTAATGAAAATATTGCTTACATACCGCATAAAAATATAATAAAACATATCCAACTCTGGTAAATGATATAGAAGAATGTTTGAAAGAACCCAGATTTAAAAGTATAATAAATACCTTACACTGTTATAAAATAATAGAAGATCAAGCTTGCTATGTATTTTAAATTAATTTTCCCTATACATTGGATCGCATAAACAAATCTTTATTTCAATGAAAATTTATTCTACGCACGATATGAATCAAAATATACATACGTGTATGTGGGATATGTTGTGGTACTTGCTCGAAAAACCACCAGCGTTGCGTTAATTTTCAACGGAATGTAAATCTGGGGAGATCGATATACAGAAAGAGAGAGACGCTCGAATTTTAATATCGTTTGGTCTTCGTATGAAATTGAATAATTTTATACATGGCTCCTTTTGTGTACGGTTGCAGGTTTATTACGCTAAGAAAAAAAGAAGGGCGCAACAAATGCAAGGCGAAGATGGTTCCCACAAAAAGGAAAGAAAATTGTACAACGATGGTTGGGATGACGATAATCATGATTATATTATCAAGAATGGGGAAAAGTTCCTCGATCGTTATGAGATCGATTCGTTAATAGGTAAGAGATTATGCCACGTACCCCCGATAGAGTGTTGCAAGCTGCGTCCTCGAAAACCAATTGACGTTTTTTAATTAAATGATCGAGGGTGGCTAGTCTTTTCACTTCTGTCTAAGAACACTAACCAACCATTTTTAGGACAATTATGAATTAACTAACGTAGATATATTATTATACTTACGTTCGATTTACAGGTAAAGGCAGTTTTGGCCAAGTAGTAAAAGCGTATGATCACGAAGAACAAACGCAAGTGGCAATAAAAATTATCAAGAACAAAAAACCTTTTCTAAATCAAGCGCAAATCGAAGTGAGGCTATTAGAAATGATGAATAGGGCGGATACCGAGAACAAATATTATATAGGTTCGTGTCGTGTTTTATTTAATCATACTGAAATTAACAATATTTTAATCGTAATCGTAACACCAACGAAATTATACAAGAACATTTTTAAATTACAGTTAAGCTAAAGAGGCATTTTATGTGGCGAAATCACTTATGTCTGGTATTCGAACTGTTATCATATAATCTGTATGATCTACTTAGAAATACGAATTTTCGAGGAGTGTCGTTGAACTTAACAAGGAAGTTTGCACAGCAACTGTGTACTGCCCTTATGTTCCTGTCTACACCGGAATTGAACATCATTCACTGTGATCTGAAACCTGAAAACATACTTTTGTGCAATCCCAAACGAAGTGCGATAAAAATAGTGGACTTTGGTAGTTCGTGTCAACTTGGACAGAGAGTAAGTGTTCACGGTGTAATGTCCCGCAATTCCGAAGTGTTGCAAAACTATTGTTTATTTAATCCCTTTTCCAGATATACCAGTATATTCAATCCAGGTTTTATCGATCTCCCGAAGTCCTATTAGGAATACCATACGACCTTGCGATAGACATGTGGAGCCTAGGATGTATTTTAGTTGAAATGCATACGGGAGAACCTCTGTTCAGTGGGGCCAATGAGGTAATTTAAAATTATGTTATATTTTATGATAGGATTTTCTTAAAAAGTCGAAACGTAAGACTTTTAATATTATTAACTTTGTTCATTATTGCTATTATTAAGAATTAGTTTTATTCGTTTGAATTCGTTACAGGGCGATCAAATGAATAAAATCGTAGAAGTACTAGGAATGCCGCCGAAACATATATTGGACCAAGCGCATAAAGCGCGGAAATACTTTGACAAAGTCCCCACGGATGGCTCGTATGTGCTGAAAAAATGTAAGGATGGTAAAAAGTACAAGCCTCCTGGCACTAGACGCTTGCACGATATCTTAGGCGTCGAAAGTGGAGGCCCTGGTGGTAGAAGGTTAGGTGAACCTGGTCATTCAATTTCTGATTACCTCAAATTCAAAGACTTGATTCTGCGAATGCTGGACTTTGATCCAAAAACAAGGGTGACACCGTATTATGCACTTCAGCACAATTTCTTTAAGCGAACAGCCGATGAGGGGACCAACACAAATATTGCTGCTGCCAACAGTGCTAACACGAGCCCGGCAGTGGTATCGATGAGCCAGGATCATGGTAAGTTTACCAGAGTCTTTTTAGCCAATAAGATATAATTCTTTATCGAATAAAGACATTTTTACACACGTAACAAAATAAAATTATTATCCTCTACATAAAAAATTTTCATCAATATTATTGGTTTTTTATTTCTGGTTAACATATTAAGGTTGTACTTACGATAGTGGTGTTCACGAATATTTAAGAACATAACTCTGTTAAAGTTTAAACTGTGTCATATTGATTTAAATTTATTTGATAAAAGAATATAATGGACATATTACCATAAATATTAACATAGGTAATTAAATTTTTTCATTTTAATGCCGTCCGATTACAATACTTTTTAAGAACATTATCATCTTTGCTACTTCTGTAAAATTATCCATAGAAACAGCGCATGCGTATATTGCAATATAAGGTATAATGTGTAATTACACTGAAAATTGCAAATAAGTCTACGTCTTTCAAAGTTACGCTATATATCGTTTGATTTTGTGCACAACTATTGTCTAATTTAATAATATCATAAATTTATCAGTTAAATTAATACCTATTTCTTAAGCATAAATGAAGAGGTTAAACAGTTTCCGAAACGTTAATTTTTGTCACTTGGTTTTCATAAGGTTTATTGGAACTTTTTTGTCTTACATTGCCAGTTTCGTCTTTTTTTTTGTCAATCTAAACCAGAATGTTCTGCAGAAATAGTTCCTCAGTTTCGACAAAAACTAATATCAAGTCAAATTGGCTATGAATGAACTTTTTAAGGAACTGTTCCATCGTATTGAAGATTTAGGCAGGCTTTAATTTGTGCAGAAAATAAGAAAATCTTACGTTATGATTCGTTTAAAAGTACGAATAGAATAAATGGAAAATTGGCAATTCTCATATTTACGAAACGTAAATACTTATGTTTTCAAGAAATTTTGTTCGTCCGTATAACAGTAAGTGCGAGGACTATTTCGTTAATTTTATTTGACCTTTAATAAATAGTGAAATAATTTTGATAGTATTGCTATAAGGTATACTTTTTATTCGATATCTTTTATTTTCTGCGCAAACTAAACGATACTTGTTGTTGCCCGTAGATATGATGGGGGGACAGTACGTGGCTCGATGACTGTCGTATCCGCGGGGCGGCGACGACCTGTCCTAGGCCCCAACCCTAATTTTACTTACTAACATAAGTAAGTTCTGTCTAACAAACAATCCTACAAGCTAAAAGACTAACAATGCCCCTGGTAATCATATCCTGACCTCGGATGTAATATGCGAAGCCTTGCTTGCTTGACCAAAAGAAACTCGCACTTCCGACTCTTAAAACGAGACACGGATTCACATTGATTGCCCGTGCCTCTAAACTTTGATACAATGTATCTCCCATAATTACATTTATTATAAGATTACTACCCTAGTTACCTAAGAATGTCCTTGTCAACATGACGTGCTATATTAGAATTTTTAAAACAGTGAATATCAAATATCTTGCTGGAATATGTTCTTTTTAAGATTTATATCTATTGTAAATTACATAATTAACTGCAACAGGCATGTGACATGTATTTACTTGCGTGCATATATGTATTATAATATTTTGAAGAGTATATTATAATATATATATATAATATTTCAATCAGAGTATATTCCAACTAAAAGTATTTGAATTGCATATCTGTGTTAATTAATTTTTTATTCTGTAGAGCGATTATTTCATTGTCTTGTATTTTATTTTATGCATGATTTAACTGCTTGCATATAGCACGTTTAGGAGTGAGTCTTCATTACATATGCGAGTCATGCATTAAATTTTACCATTACAACGAACATTTTGTCAATCCATAGTGTGCACATCCATCCCATCATGTTCTATTTTTTTTTCGAATGATTTCATTCTACCTTGTACATTTTTTAATTAAGGACGAAAAATAGTATATGATAATGTTCCATCGAGACAAATAACATTCTATATGCAATTAATTATAGTTCTATATACGTGTACAAGGTGTCCCGAAAAGTATGATACTTTTGGGCAGTGAGAAATATCGAAACATAAACTGTAACGATTTTGAAGAATATTTTAGAAACGGTAATGTTTTGTCTAGTCATTTACAATCAAAGATGAACATGCACGTTCTTAATTTTCTTCCGATTAGCATGTTTATGTTAATTTCTAATAATATATTTACTGTTCAAGCTACCTTTTCAATTCAATAATGTTCATGGAAGCACAGTGAAAGTAGCATGTTCACAATTAAGAGTATGTTTTGAAGTTAAACAGAATCATCGAAATATTTTGTCATAATTAAAAGAGATTACAATTATAAGAAATAGTCTGTAATACTACGAAAGATAGTACTAGACTGTTAATTATTATCAAAATGAATAAACAGATTTAGTATTTTAAAAAAAAATGACTGAAATAAAAGGAGTATAAAGAAAATTTTAATTCGTGGAATACACTGTAAAGTAATTTAATAACTTTAGCACAGTGTATAGTGAGTTAATATTCTAAGACATTCGATTTTTAAATGTTATGACAACGTGTTGTTGAAACTTTATCTGAATTATTTATACAAGATTATTTAGTATTAATAGGTTAATGCTACTGGCGGGACACCCTGTACCAATGTGTGAATTTTTTTATTATTATTTCCGCTTCAATGAAATTCCATCTTTTTTATCAATTCGTCGCTTTAATATTATCTCCGCGAACATTTTTATAGCGTGGTACTCTTTTAAAACGATACAATGACAATCTGCCATTGTTATTTTGAAATCGTTACACAAATTTTATTGTTACCTGAGAATTTTAGCATAGTTCAAAGTATCAGAAAATATCAGAAGGTTATTAAATGTATAATTTTCTGAATTTAAACGAGATTCTTATTCTTAATGGCAGCATATTGTAAAGACTTTTAATCATAGTATTAATTAATGTTAGACGTATGATATAAATAATGATTTTTATGGTTGAAAGTATTGCAGATAAATTTATCAGATTTATTCTTATATTGCTGTTTTTCTTTTTTTTCTTTTACATTTCAACAGTATTTTTGTATCTATTTTCGTAAAATATAAGTATCTCGAATTCCTATTGTTTTATTAATCCATAGTAGATTTTATATTATATATAATAAGCTTTGTATAGAGTTAAAAACATAATTACAATGCTATGTAAAGTGTGTTGGGGTAAGTGTACCCCTGTTTTTTCAAAAGTATAACCGATGGTAATGATTTTTTTATGATTTGAGATGTAGTTTAGGGTCTTGACTAAAAGTAACTCTGTTCTATCAGGTGATATCAATTTTTGTCTAGAGAACACAATTGTCTGCACACTAATCCCACATGTTGGATAAGAACAATACTTTTTACACAGTGTAAGTGTATTTATTATTCCAATATTAGTCAAGAAATAATGGTAATCACCTTCGGCTGTTCTCTAATATTGCCATCTTTGATTTCGTTGTTGAATTTGAAGGCAGTAGCAAATACTTCCACAAAAAAGTGACTTGGAACACACTTGTCCCATTTTTGCAGTTACCCCACTGCACGTTACGAAATTGAACGTAATCGTACGAAACATGAAACACAATACTGTTTAAGATTACCGATTAGACGGTGTTAAATAACCGATTATCTAAATATTTACATGGCCAGTTACTTTTTAGAAATCTGTTTAGTTGATAAGTAATATTGTACCAATGACTATATTACCCACAGTGAACATGCACTTGTTAACTTTACTAGCAAACAAATATAAAGCAACGGTTTCTTCAAAGAAAGGTTACGTAGAATAAGGAATTAATTCTAGTATACAGTAGTATTTTTTATATTGCCTGGCCATAGGAAATATGCAAGATTGTATTATAAATGTTTATAAAATCCGGATAGGCTTAGTAAGTAAATGTCTAAATTTAATACGAGATATTTTACGAATGTAATTTTTTTCCGAAGGATATTTATAATATAATGTTACGTATCTTCAAAGTACAATAATGCGTATGATTGTTTTCTATAGGTAATAGCAAATTGTATGTAATATATGTAGAATATTAAATTGCGCGAACTAACGTAAGAAAGGTTGTAAAATATAGTTATACTGTTCCATATTTTGGTAAATTCATTGATACAAGACAGAAATTGATCATAGTAAAGGTTCCAAGGAGATTGTCGAATATACTCTTCAAAATTGTCTCCTCGATTAAGAGTAGCATTGGGGACGAAGACGAACGATTGCTCATTGTTTATGTACTAGTAATTTATCATACATTGTACCTAAGTTTCGACACAGGACAAAAGAATATATGATCAAGTCGTTCATCAACTACATCTATATATATAGTATATAAAAAAAAAAAAGAGTAACGAAAAGATGAAATGTTAAATTCAATGCCTGGAATGTGTCCCTGTAGTTCTTTTTTTTTTAAATATTTTTTTTTTTTTTTTATTTGTTTTAACTCTCTCCCATAGTGATGTTCTATCGTAAAAGCTAGTACTTCATTGAATGATCTTTGAATTAGTGTGATGCTCGATAGCATCGATCACCGATCTGAGGTCGTTTTCTCTTAATGTCTCAGGACTGGTAACCATGTCAGGACAGGGAAGCAGTAACAGTGGCAATCCGATGCAAGGATCGAGTCTCCCTGGTGGCTACCAACCGATGGAGTGTGAATCCTCGCCCCTACATTTGGGTAATCGGCGTGTCGTAACAACAAGCTATCCGTCAACTTCTGCCACTGGGGTGTCTGCATCCGGGCCAATGTCCATGCAGTCTGTAGACAGCTCCCTGATACAAAGCTCTCTTGGATCGTATAATAGCCTAATTATCCCTGGTATACCCCATCTGCCTGCGATGATGACCTCACCAATGATTCAACAGCAGAACTTCTACAATTACGGTTATCCGACGACTGATGCGCACGGAATAGTCAGACAACCGTCGACAGTGTCAACTGGTAAACAGAGAGACCCGGAAAGGGAAGACAGTCCTATGGTCGGAGTATGCGTCCAGCAGAGTCCAGTTGCTATCCACTGAACGAAAAGAGCGAATGAAACTACGACGGTCGATGATATGTACTGTCGCCGCAATCGCGATACCGTCAAAATATATTAGGTGATTATACATACTGTATATACAATGTTCACGACGATAACGCAGAAAAAAAAAAAATAAGAAAAACTTATCGTACTGTTTATGAAACAAAAAAGGAGGGCAGTGAGAACGGGTAGCAGGAACTTGGAAGGTCCTTCCCCGTTGCGTTGCTTTGCATTTCGTCGTTCTGTCGGCTGCGAAAGATCATTTCGAAGTAATAACGTTGCCAGTAACGGGCACTGCCACGTACAAGTGTCGGGACAAACTATTGACATTATTAAAAGTATACTGCTTCGATTTAAAACGGAAACGGATTAAAAAAAAAAAGGCAGATATTAATGAAATAATACACGTCGTGCGAGAAGTTCTTCTTCGTTCATTCATAAAAGAGAAAAAAAAAAGAGAAAAAAATAATTATAAAATATTACGAGTCAGCTTCTAAAGAAAAAAAAAAAAAAAAACAGAAAAAAAGAAAAAAAAAAGAGCGAGCAAAAATGAATTCGAAGGAGTTATTACGAAGGAATGCAAAGGAAGACACGAGGGAAGTCTCCTCTTTTCCGTTAGTTTTTCTTTCTCTTCTTAGTTTTTTGTTTGTCTATCTTAAGAAGCCGACTGGTCTTACATTGGGCACGGATACGCCGCGTCCGTCACAGAAGCTTATGATACTTTGCTTATGAGCACGGACGGACAATTATGGTCTAGTGAGGATGAACCCAGCTGGCCTCTCGGGTCCTGCCCGATTCTGCAAACACTCCAAATGCTTTAGTCGCGTGCAACGTCGTTAACAAATTTTGGCACCCAAAACTGTGTGGCCTAGAGAGCAAAAACGTGATAATTACTATTATAAAATGCATAAAACAGGAGGAAAAGTAAGAATTACCAGTGTAAGCATATACTCCAATAGAGTTTTATACACAATGTCACAAATGTAAACGGTTTAGCAAGTAATTGCTAGCAAACAGTCGCGTCAAATGCTAGTTATTTGTACAATATACATAGGTAAATGATAAGAGTGCAGCTTTAGGTTTTAGCTTTTAAGTGTGAGAAGAGGACACTGACATTGTAAACTCTACTCTTTTATTTACTTTGATGAATAGAGAAGAGGACGTTGCAAACGTCAGTTTGTTACTGATAAAAGGACTTGAAACAAACGAGGTTTGCATGATTTAACAACAATACATATTTATACAGAAAAAAAAGCAGTAATAAGAAAGTTAAAAAGCAGTATACACGTAAGATCGATCAAGAATGATATAATCATACAAAAACCTAGATACTTTATAATAAACGATACGCGCGTACTCATATGCATATGTTTCCAATGGCAGTCGTAATTGATTTTTGCCGTTTCACTTTAATAATTGTAGCGCTATTTATTATTATATTGTTACATCTTCGACATAAGTTCGTAATCGTTTTCTGGCATTTCAATTATCCTTTTCCAAATTCTGTCCATTATACTGGTATCACTGTTTTAAAATGTATTTTTTTGCGTTTTTTTTTCTTTTTTCTTTTTGTCTTTCTATTCGGTTACGAAATACAAGTGACTTGAAACGTACGTATTATTGCCAGAATGCGAAACATTAAATACAAATAAATTGTGTCAATAGCGATAAGATAGTATAAAACGAGACACGACGAGCGATCTAAATTTTCGATACTTGTTAAAAAAAAACATATACTGCAACAAATAATAATCCTTTCAAGATATTTTATATATTTCTATTTTTTTTTCTTTCTTTTTGTGACGCATGCATTGAGACAAGCTGATGTTTTAAAATTATTTTATAGTTTATTGACGATTTTGTATTATTTTATATGAAACGAAATATTAACGATATAGATTCGAATACTACTTAAACATTTTACTATATGCAGTATGTCAGCTTATTTTCGGCTTACTTCGAATATGCGATAGTATGATTTTAGGATCGGTAACATTTTTAATATTCAACATGTTGTTACGATTTATACCAAATGTGGAACCGTTAAGAACATTTTTTCTCGCATCAGTTTTTCGATAAGGTTGACGCTATACACCGCAAGAAAGTCTCAAACTTGTATTGTATAAATTGATTTGTATCAAACGTCTTACTTTTTATTATACGAATCATGAATGAGAATGGAATATTTGAATTATACAAAGAATTGTTTTTTTTTTTTTTTTTTTAAGTCAACGTCTTAATATTTTGCATTTTTTATTATTAGTAATGCGAAGATTTGCCAATAAACTTATCGACTCACCGAACGCTATTCGTTTGAATCTTTATTCGATTCTTTGACAAAACGTGTGTTTTGTTAATATTTACTTCGTTCTAATGTGTGATGATCATTGCGTACGATACTTTAAATCTAAAAGACAGAATCTGTTTTTGTTCGAACCAGAATAAACGATAAATCATAGACGCAATGGTGTAAATTCAATCTAGAGTCATAATCACTTATTATTACGAAGATATTGAAATTTCTACGGCTCTTATTAATTTTAGAGAGTATGATATTGGAGACATATAATTCTTCAAAACGATGACAAACTGTTCGTTAGACTCGAACAAGGTTTTTTATGACAAATTCTGACATTTCGATGATCTCATCGAACGGCAAAAATCAGTACGCTCTATAAATGTAGATGAAATGTGTGACAAACACACGTGCCCTCTTCCGAATTTACGTTAGTGCACGTTGCGCCCATTAGTCCGTCGGAAAAATCGGAATTTTTCACACCCTTTTCTTAGTTCTATATTTTGATACGGGAATATTTGGTTTAGAGCGAGACGCTACGTAGGAGGATAATGTTTTTTAAGTCGTACTTTCGTCAAACGAAAGCAAAAAGATTTTTAAAAAATCGACTTCTGGGCACAACGCATCATTCGAGCATTTTCTCATCTGACGATTGTTTATATTAGTAAAATGATTTATTTATTTACACATCAGCAAAACGAGATTGATTGTATCGTGTACAATTTTTAGAAACTTTAATACAGTTACCACTTAGGGAAACAAACGACGATCGTCATATAAGACTTAAATTTACAGAAACGTTTTCAAAACACCGATGGTAGAAAAGAAGGGAAAATGTTTAAGCACAATTTCAACGATTATTGCAGAAAAGATCTCGAAAAATTCTCGGAAGAGCGGCGGTTGATTATTGGAAAAACAAAAAAAAAAAAAAAAGAATGTGTCGGAAAACGAAAGAGATTGATAATATTTGGTTGGAAAGTGGAATTTATAATTATACAACAATAGATTGATTTCAAACGCGCCAATTAATTTTTCATATAAAAACTTTTTACAGAGACTACGTTTCGAAATATTTTCATATTTCTCCATTCATAACGTATACGTTTCTTATAGCTTTTGTACCCCGGAAAAAAAATTTGTTCACTCAACAATTGTCGCAAAATGCAGAGTATTTATGCCAATTAGCAAACAACAGAGATGTATACATTTAAATAGCATAAGAACCGATCGCGATTTGTGTTCCAAATGATTACCTTTTCGTGTTCAAATATTTTAATGAAATACGTAAATTTGTTGACAATATGTCATAAAAAAAAAAAGTTATGTGTACTATTTATCATTCGAAAAATATAAAAATTTCGTCAATTTACGCCATAAATCTTATCGTCGTTTCGTGGTAAAGAAACTTATAAAAGATATTTAAAGTATATTAAGAAATTTACATCAACGACGTCCCTATTATTCTAAATAGTTGGAAGCATTCAAAAATTATTAGCGATGATTATTTTATTATGTATGTTTCGATTTAAATTCTTTGGAACACATCGTGGCCGGATTAAAATAACATAAGTTTCCTAACGTCATGTGTAAAAACATTGTGTTCAGAAAATATACTATAATACGACTGATATATGCCTGTTATGCGATATGCGAACATCATTCGAGAAAGATTGGTGAAAGAGTCGTCTCCGCATCTTGTTTGATGATCGCATACGCTGACCGACATGAAAATATAAGGAATGAATACAGACAAACAAACTGAATTAAGAAAAACCGATTTATTAAGATGAAAATACTTAACAAACCTCCATACAAGATGAAAAAAAAGTTGTATGTACCCTGTAAACATTTTCATTATATTATATTATATTATTATTGATACTACTATTATTATTATTATTATTATTAGCATTATTATTTTTATTATTATTCCTCCTGCTGCTACGTTTATTGTTATTTCACTATTATTATTATGATCATTATTATTATTAATACTTTTATTATTATTTTTATCATAATTATTACCATTATTTTTATTGTTATTACCACTGCTACTCCTCCTACTACTACTACTACTACTACTACTACTACTACTACTACTATTACTACTACTACTACTACCTACTACTACTACTACTACTACTACTACTCCTACTACTATTACTACACTACTACTACTACTACTACTACTACTACTACTACTACTACCACTACTACTATTACTACTATTATTATTACTACAATTATAATTATTACGGTTATTACAATTATTGCGATTATTATTATTTTTATTTTTATTTTTATTATATATAATAATGTAATTGAAAATTTGAAACGATATTACATAAGGTTAATAATAAACAAACGCATCTTCATTTTTGTCGTTACATTTTTGTTAGTCTCCTGAAGTCCTACTGTAATAGAGCATTTTATGGGAAATATTTTTGTATAAAATTGTAATAATAACGCAACAGCCTAACATTTCTTACACATATATATTGTTTGTGAATAGTGAAACTCAATCAGCTGAACAGATTCTGTTGTGCTTAGCCACGTAGAACGGGTTTAAACGATTGTACTCGGTCACGTGGAACAAAATCCGTTATGGTCGGTAATGTGGAACGGGTTTAAACGGTTGTTCACAGCCACGCGGAAGAAGTTCCGTTATGTTCAGGTACGCGAAACGGGATCAAATGATTGTGCTTAACTATTTGGAACGGGTTCAAAATCGGTTGTGTTCGGTCATGTGCAACGGGCTCCGTTATGTTCAGCTACGCGGAATGGGTTCAAACGGGTTGCGCACAGCCATGTAGAACGTATGCCGTTATGTTCAACCTTGTTGAGCAGGTTCGAATGGTTGTGCTCAACCACGTGGAATAAGTTTAAAATGGTTATATTCAGTCATGCAGAACCGTGAAACCATACTCAACCATGTGAAACCGGTTCAAACCATTTCAGATTAAAATTCGGCGTGTTCTAAGTATGCTTCGACCATACGAATCCGGTACAATTCGGTTCAGACTGAATTTCAACCTGTTTAAATTTATTCCATTTGTATCCTAGAAATGTGAGTAAAACTTATGCAAAACTTATTCAAATCCAGCCTCGTTTAGAGAAATGTGAATGTCAATGTTAAGTCGGGCACGTATTTTAAAGTGGCGACTTTGTTACGTAAAATTGAAAGTGAATAGGTGAAGGAAGAAAATGAAAAGAAGAGATGGGGAGGAACGTTTCGTCCTAGGTCTACTAGTGTACCATTAGTAAGGCGATCAAGTAGACCCTGACTTTGGCATCGGACTGTCGGACATTCTAGACTTTATTCAGGAGTATATAGGAATCAGAGGCAGATCGAGTGCTTGTGAGAGCGGTAAAGGTTAAGTGTGCCCCTCTATTGGCAATTGCGGGAGATGGCACAACAGGTTTAGAATGGCAAAGCATTTTTCGTTTATGTAATGATTAGAACAAACGTAAAATGTGTTTGCTCGCCTAATTTAGAAACAGTTTCATGTCCGGGTGAAACTAAATCAGAACCAAGAAGTAAACCTAACTTCTGGATGGTTCTTCCACCCCAGAATTGCATAGCTCCAGAAGAAATGAGAATTTTCGGCAACAGTAATTTTATTTATACCTTCTTGAAGAATAGCAAAATGAAAGGAAATGCCATGTAATATCAAATTTACGACTATCATTTATATGATGTATTCTATTAAGTATTATTGTGACTATTGTCCGATAGAAATTATTAATTGTTGCAATAATAATAATCTAGCTTCGTTCCTCTTATAAGACTATAATAAGAAGAAGACTGAATTCTAGCAATACCCCGGAGTAACATACAGAGACGACACTTTTGTCGGAACCTTCGATGTTCACCCTAATTATGGAGATCTTGAACGTACCCCTTAAAGATACTGTTGTCGATATTAGTGCTCCTTAGACATACAGGTTAACGTCATTACTAAATGAAACACCAAGTATAATCAAGTATATAGATTTCTATTATATAAATATGAGTGAATATGCACACTAGAGAGAGCAAGTAGTCACTTACGACTCCCATTGGTCAATTTACATTCATGTGCTCTCAAATTTGGTTTCACAAAAACTGGGAAGTGTCGCCTCTGCATATTATTCTGTGCCACAATTATTATTATTATGACTATATCGATACTTATCATAAGTCGTTTGGGCAATTTTTTCTTTATTTATTAATGTCATGTGTATAAAGATAATGTACTCACCTATTAATGAACATTTAAAGAAAAAGACATTTGATTGTCGATTGAAGACTTTATGTATAAGAATCAAAGATAAGTTGAGAACTAGTGAGAAAAGTAGAAGGTTGGGTGTCCCTCTGATGACGGTTGCAGGAAGGTGCCATCACAATAAAAATTGTACGCAACACGCAACAGAAATAAATCTTGGACCAGAGTGAAATAATACAAGTGTACGGTTACCAGTTATCAAAGTTTAAATATTATTTATTATCTCTATTATATTAACTGTAATTAATTCTGATGTTTGATATTCGTATTATAAATATGTATAATTGGTTTCTTTTCTGGTAAATTACTTAGTGTTGACGTTTGATATTCTACGAAAATTGGACTATTTAATTTATCATATTACTTACAATTTCAGAAATATTACATTATAAAATATATACATATATTCGTTGCATTATATTATCCTGAAGAGTTCAAATATTTAAAATAATTTATCGTATATCTTTTTTTAGGTCTGGGTTAGGGTTAAAAAGTAGAACAATAATAAATAATGATAAATAATAATGAAAATAATAATTACAGAAATAAAAATGTTCAAGCACTTTAAGATTAATTAAAAAACATTTTCCATAATAAGTGACAGAGGAAAAAGAGAAAATCCTACTTTGTGTACAAAATCTTTTACAGAATATATGACTGTATTTGCATCGGTATTAATAAAAAATTTCATACTGGCAAATATCTTATGAACGAAGGGATTATATTAATTTTTTATTTGTTAAACGAAAATATTTTTTGACGGCTAACATTTGTAAATATTTAAATGATTTATTTTTGACAAAGACAAATCTCTACACATTTTTTTTCTAAAATATTGGTAATATATAATATCGTCAAAGAAAAGAAAAATTATATTTGTATAATTTTAACTGGTGACTATCGTGCAAGATTTAATACATAATTGACAATGTCAAAATATTGTGACATATGTTCGATATACTTTCAAAATGAGTATGCCTTGCAAGGTCATCTTGTAGGTAAAAAACATTTGAAAAGACATCAACTGGCTCAAATCATGGAAATGTCAATTGTTGTATCACCCTTGCCAAAATTTATTTATGGGCACAAACTTCTTCAACTTTTCGCAAAATTTGGTACAATTAAACACCACCGATTTCATCAAGATTGTCTTACTATACAATATTGCGACAGGTAATAAAATGTATTTTGTATATTTATTGGTATTAATCGATATAAAATTTTACAGTAAAGATAATACTTTTATTTCTGATATTTTTAATATATTGAAGCCAGTAGATGTATTTATGATTATAATTTCTTAGTTTAGAACTGCAATTTTATCACAATCTAAGTTTATAATTATAATAATAATCTTTTGTTGTTATAGAAAATCTGTAGAAGTTGTACTAAGTAAACCTATTTGGGTACATAATGTATTATTGAATATAGAAAGAAGAGTATTTACTAATCGTAAGTATTATCAAAGGATATTTTGCTACATCGTATAGATCCCTGATTTGGTTCAAATTTTGTATTTATGTTTGAATATTTGCACATTATAGTATTTCCATATTTGTTGCTATATATATTAACAAATTATTGTAATATTAGATTAGTTACATTATATTATATCGATATTTTTTTCTACGCATAGGAACAGGAAATTTTTTTTAGCAATTATTACATCCTGTTGTATAATAGAGTTTAAAATAAATAAAAAATAAATCTGCAAACAATTTGCAAAACGTAAAAAGAAAATATTTAAGTAACATATGTTGCTTTGTGATATAGCGTGTACTATATACAAAATTGGAGCTAAATCAGCGATTCAACTGTTACATATCCTTATAAGAGCAATAATATCTCTCTTATAATTTGGAATATATGTCTAATATTTTAAAATTCTAAATATGTTGTTTCAAGATACAGAGAAAATGAAATCAGCGAAGGAAAATAAAAGTGAAATATGTTATGAGAATATAAAACATATATTTCAAGAAGAAACTACATTTGATAATCAATTAGTAACACTTTTAAATACAACGCAACTTACTGAGATGGAAGTTAAAACAAAATATGAATGCATTTGTGTGCACCTATGCATGATACTTAAAACAGTATTCCCTAAGTGTGAAGTGTACAAATTTGGTTCAACTCGAACAGGACTAGGATTTAAAGATTGTGATTTAGATATATATGTAGACATTGGTAAGATTATTTTTGTTACGCTATATAAATTTTTACATTATGCAGGATGATTCTCCTATCAGTAGACCCAAACGGAATGTCGCTGCAAACCCGTATATCAAACCCGTCATCGTTGAACGATCGATTAAGCATACAGCGATTATCGAACTCTTTATCGAGCTGCGGTGTTTAAGCGAAGGCATTCTTTTCGAGTCTATTGGCAGGAGAATCAGCCTGTATTAATATATTATAACATTGTGATACTTGTATTTTAGGCATGCCAATATTTGAACCTAATAAAAACGCACCACGAACTTCATGGACTATGCAAAAAATTTTTACAAACGTAAAAACAATTTTATACCGAATGAATACCACTTTTTCTTGTATAATACCAATTTTGAAAGCTAAAACACCCATTATAAAATGTTGTTACGTCCGAACAAATGTTTTTTGTGATATTTCGTTTAAAAATAGTTTAGGTATATATAAAAGTGATTTGTTAAAACATTGCATTTCTCTCGATGGTAGATTAAAGCCGTTAATGATGCTTATTAAATATTGGGCACTGCATTTTAAAATATCAGGTACTGGAAAAATATCTAGTTATGGTTTGATGTTGTTAATTATCTTTTATCTTCAACAGCCGTCGATTAATATTATTCCACCTTTGATCAAACTTAAGGAAACTTGCCAACCGCAAATTATAAATGGGTGGCAAGTTAATTTTGACAAAGATGCAGTGTTACCTCCAGTTACTAATACAAGTAGCATTCCACAACTCCTTCATGGTTTTTTTGATTTCTATGCAAATTTTGAATTTAAATCACGAGTAGTCTGTCTATTAGATGGAATGGTACATACAGAATCAGAATTTAAAGATACTGAAAATCTACCACAATATATGGATAGGTATAAAGCGTGTGTAGAAGAAGATGACAATCTTAAGTTAGTTACCAATCTAATGTGTATCCAAGATCCTACAGAACTTAATGATAACGCTCTAAAAAGTACACCATTTTCAATAATTGACACTTTCCAACAATATTGTGAGCTTGGTGCTCAAGTTTGTGCAGCAAATAGTAAAGATGATGGTAAAGATTTATTGAACACCTTGTTTACCACAGAGCTAAAAAAGAAAACTACCAACCATAAATTTGTAGCTGTAATTTGTACAAATCACTTACAGAACCTTAATAAATCAAATACAACGGATGCATCTACAGATACAAAAAAATTTAAATCTGCTGAGATCGATTATTATGATACCATTTGTAACATAACTAAAGATATTTTTGAAAATGTTTTCAAAATGCAGGTTGAGACTGTTACTGCTAGCGAAGAAGCAAAACAAAACACTGAAATGCATTGTATTGGTTCTCAGTGCGTATGGCGGAATAGAAAAATGAATGGCATTGTTTTAGATCCTAGTTTGAGTTGTTTGGAAAAAGAAGCTTTTATATCGGAACAAACTATCGAAAATAATAAGAAAAAAGCAACAAGTAAAGTAAACTTAGATTTGACGTATACGCTCAAGAAAAAGAAGTTACATTCCCCGAAGGTAATCTTAACTGTAAGTAATCAAAATGGTGCTGAAAGTGTTTTTCAAGAATTTACAAATTTTGCTAAAAGTAAATTACTCAAGATAATAGACCAAACATTGCTACGCATGCAATGCAAGTGCTAGGCCCCCTTAAATTATATGTGAATAATATGAACAGATATTAAATATACAATTATGGACCAAAGCTATTAGAGGTGTGCAAGACTCTGAAAATGTCAGGAACCCATAATATACATTATAGTATGAGGTTTGTGGAGAAAGTAGGCCACTGTATATGATCGTGAGTGTATGTTTGCCCCATTAGAGTTAGATACACCAGATATGTAAAACATGCCAAAAAGAATTGTAGTATAGAATTGTAGTAGATATTAAAGTATTCGTTATTGTTCTAGTCATTATATGTAATTTATTTATAATACTACCATAAACATAACAGTTATAAAAACTGTTGAATGAAAATAATTTACCAAATGTATTACTAAAGAATATATTTTATTTTAAATTAACGGGTAGAAAAGCTAATTTCTCCACGTTTTTCACAAGTACCCTTACTCTCTGCTGTGCTGCATTTTGTAATATTAAATTTATTATTTAAAAAGTTGAGCAACTTTAATTTTCATATTCATTATTATGATTATGCTCATTTTTTGTTTTATCTTATGTTCTTTAAAACAATTGATTGCTTCCTGCTTCTCTTTGTGTTATAAGAAATGATGTTTAACTTGTGGATCCAATAGCATCGTTTGCATTAAAATAGTATTTAGTTACTAAGCTAAAATTTTGAACATCGTCGAGGGTTTCGGAACCCGTCCCAACCCGAACCGATATTTTCGGGTTCTTGCACATCTTTAATAATAATCCCTAAATATCAATGTGTAAATTCAATTTTGTGTCCGTACAATACTTGTATTTTTACATTTTTAATTAAGTATAATAAATATTGTTTTAATTTTGTTGTATTAATTATCCGCTAAACTACGAATAAAAATGTATTGCGTCTTTACTCTTAAATAAATTTTTACGATCATCATAAGTGTGTGGTCAATTTTACAAGTAACTATATATATTAGACTGCAGCGAGTGCATGTCGAATAATTTGTCCATCCGCTTACATATACTAACGCTTGAACCCAGTGATGCCAGAAAAGCACCGTCGGGTACACACTCGCATGCAAGATACGCGTACATGAGCTCGTGGAGTTTCGGAAAGACGACAAAGGCAAACTGACGCATGCCCTCTTTCTCGATTCTCCGAAGCTGCCCGAAGTAATTTCGGACCGCTTCGTGGAAGTCGAGAGAGAAAGGCTCACATTTGCCTTCTCGCTCCCACACAACTGAAATCCGACCTCCCGTCAACGGCATACGATTTGGATTCTCGACTGCCCAGGCATTTTTACTTTCCGACCTATGTAGGCGCACATAAGCAAAGTACCCATAATGAAAAAAAAATTTTGTAAAATTTATTTTACGGAAATACACGTTTTAAGACCTCCTGATCATATTTTAATTATTGAAAAAAAAGAAATTTTTTTTTATTCCCATGTATGAGCACACATATGTATATTATTAATACGATTTTTGAAAATAAATAAAGTAAAACTTATCTCATTGAAATTTTTTCTACAAGTAGTACCTAGAAAAAAGTATTAGACAACATTTGATTTTGATTTACACATTCTGCATCGACGGCGACACTAGTAACGACGAACTTCCTTAGCTTTTAACAGAGTGGTGGGGAAAGCCGACATATCCTACCGCACGAGCCACATGTTACGCCAGGTCAGCACTTGATGCAACTTCGGGAAATCGGTAAAGAACGTGAACAGGAGCCGTTCCTTCTTGTTCTTGAACAGCTGAAGTCCGTCCTCGCGTCAATGGCATACAATTTCGAATCTCGACTGCCCCGACATTTTCACGTTTCAAGTTATATGGGCACAAATATATAACCAAAGTCCATATTGAATGAAAAATTGACACGTACATACACGTTTCAAGACCCCCTGATCATGTTTGACATAAAACAATACTTTGGAAATAAATCGTTTGAATATAGTTTATCAAGTAAGACTTTCGAAATTATTTTCAAACGATTTATTTCCTAATTGTTCTATTATTTCAAATAATAATTTTTTTATTTTATAGCAAAGAATGTTTATTTAATATCAATTCAATAAATTCAATTTGTATTTGTATATTTTTCGCCTATATAGGCAAATATACCATGCTCAGTTTTATTGCATAAGTTGTTCCATAACAGAGATGTGTCTCTGAGTTGTTAAATATAAAAGTTGTTCAGTTTATTTGTTCAGTCTAGTTGTTGTTCCCAAATATGAGATTTTCTTGGTCTTTAAAAAGACCGGTTTGTCGCGTTGGCCGCTGCTCGTGAAACATCTTCTTGATCTTCGATTTTGATCGAATGTAAATCTTCAATTAAATTCTTCATCTCGATACGGTCCGTCTTGCTTGGTGGTTGAATACGAAGAATATTCGAAAAGTTGTTCCTTAACGTCGTAAAGTGACAAAATGCTCAGAAAAATTGTCAATTTTCAAACGATCATAACTTTTACAATAGTCAAACTTATCTCATTGAAATTTTTTCTACAAGTAGTACCTAGAAAAAAGTATTAGACAACATTTGATTTTGATTTCGATTAAAAATCAAATTTATATTGTTTTAAATTCGCAGCCATTAGCTCGGTGTTACCCATAATGAAGAAGTTGTTCTTCAAAGGTAACACCGATTACCAGGTCTCACCACGAGGAGGTTGCTGCGAGTGGAGACCCAAAGTGAGATCGATGGAACAAAGTTCGATCGACCTTCCTTTTTACACACTAGATTACGCAAAAAAAAAGATGCCAAGTAATTACTGTTCTAAAACAAAGGAGGAAGGTAAATTGTGGGAGACGCGACACGACGAAACGCGACACAATACTGCACAGTGCAGTAGGAACATGAGGTGCGACACGTACCGAATAGCGGGTCAAAAGGGGCAGCTCGTTACCTCTTAGCAAGTCCAATTGAAGGGGAGGAGAATCGACGCACCAGACACGGGTTCCCCATTTCTCCAACGCGTCCTGCTGGGAGCCCGTAGGACCCAACCCGGGACGTCTTACACAGGAGAGAGATCCTGAGTCGGGGCTACCGCAGACAGGAACAGGTCCCCTCTACGGCCGATGACTCTTTCCCTAGAATTGTCTCACCAGAGGACGGCAACCGACCCTTCGAACCATCTAAACGGCCGATCACTTGCTTTCTACATTAAAGCAGCGGTGACCGGAGAAACGAGACTGGAAAAGAAGCTATTAATGAATTCATTACTTGGCAATCTACGCAGTAAATAAAATAATATACAATGTAAATTGAAAATTAACGTCGTAGGTGGAATTAATGAGATTAAGGAATTGAAATAAACATAGGAATGAATAAGAAAGGAAAAAGAAATATTCGACGTTAATTTTTACACTCGCGCCGCGCCTTAAATTTAATGCCCTTACGTGCAGATGAATCCGAAGTCCTCTATCTAAAAATTGACCTGAATAAAAACTAAAATAAAAATTAGTAGTTAAACAAACAAATTAATTAATAATAAATATAAGGACAAAGAAACAAATATACAATCAAGAAGAGAATCATTTGGAAAATAACAACCCCACGATGTTGAAAATGAGGAAAATGAGGAAAATGAGGAAAATGAGGAAAAATAACAACCCAACGATGAAGAAACCAAGAACAGAATAATTTAAAAAATATCGACCCAACGATGTGAAAAAACGATGTAAAAAAGCTGAAATAAAAATAATTGATTCATTAACGAGACGAACAACCCAAATAGAGTACATCACCTATATATATATATAAACAAAAAAGACAATGTTGGGATTAGTTGTATTAATATAATTACATGTATACCAAACGGTGATCCTTCCTGGTCAGCATCGCAGAATCAGAGAATCTGAAACAGAAATTACGCGTGACAGTACCCCTGGCGGTTACAGGAGTACTGAAAGGAGTTGCCCAGCTGTGTCCACTTTTATGCAGTCAAGCCAAAGTATCAACGAGCCAATCAGCAGCCAGTCCGCTGGGGGCGACACTCCGATACGGCGACACTTGCTTCACCTAAGTTGATAAGAGACCCCCCTGTGGCCCTCGCGCGGGAGTTATCGCCCAACCACCAAGCAAGACGGACCGTCTCGAGATGAAGAATTTAATCGAAGATTTACATTCGATCAAAATCGAAGATGGCGGCCAAGAAGATGTTTCACGAGCAACGGCCAAGGGACAAAACCGGTCTTTTTAAAGACCAAGAAAATCTCATTTGTGGGAACAACTTATGCAATGAACTGAACAACTTTTATATTTAACAACTCAGAGACACTTTACATCTCTGTTTTGTAACAACTTTTATATTTAACAACTCAGAGACACTTTACATCTCTGTTTTGTAACAACTTTTATATTTAACAACTCAGAGACACTTTACATCTCTGTTTTGTAACAACTTTTATATTTAACAATTCAGAGACACTTTACATCACTGTTTTGTAACAACTTTTATATTTAACAACTCAGAGACACTTTACATCTCTGTTATGGCACAAGTTATGCAATAAAACTGAACATGGTATATTTGCCTATACATATAGGAAGGAAATTCGTCGTTAGTATTGTCGCCCGTCAATGCACTTAATTATGCAAGATCAGTATACTATCTAATTTTATTTTTTATTATACCGGTTTGTAATATCGTAAAGATCAATGCAAAAACATTATGCACAGCTCTTGTATTTCTTTGATTTATCCAAGTAGTGAAAGTATAATATTTAACAAACTTTTGATTCAAATAAAATAACGAATGACACAAAATTTGAGTACCTGTTACATGCAACCTATGTATAAATACATAATAACTAATATTGATATACGCATAACGAACTTAGTTTGTGATATGAAACATTAAGAAAAGTGTAAATTAATAAATAGGTTTCAAAATGGGTATTCCGGGTTTAACAACTTTCATAAACAATCGTTCAGATCGTTATTTGGAATAGTTCGAGCTACGTGATACGTATTTAGTTATTTAGCTGTCAAATATATAATTCGTACAAGTGCAATTGTGTTTTTGTCGGTGATTACGATAATTACGCTCAACGAGTTACGGATTTTTTTGACGATTTGATAAAGTGCAATGCAGTATCATTAGTTTTGATCGATTGTGGTTGCGAGGATAAGAAACTGCAAACAGTTACATCTAGAACTAGAGAAAAGGTTCGTACAGCATCATCTTATTCTCCGATCTGTCAACAGAAAATGAAATTTTTTCCTTTACATATTTAGGAAGTTTTCAAAGATGTTACGAGAAAGAAGAATATTCGTCATGTGCAATGCTTATTCGAAGCTGATAATGCTATAGCTACTGTAGCAAGGATATTGAATTGTCCTGTATCGAGTTATGATTCAGATTTTTATGTGTTTGGGACATTGTACATACCATTTGATACATTGGACAATTACACTGTGAAAAGTTCAACTGGAAATGGTTACACGAAACGTTGTAAAATTTATAAAGTTGAACACTTATTAAATTCTTATAGAGGTCTAAGTCAATCTACACTGCCATTAGCTGCAATATTACTAGGCAATGATTATGTAAAACGTGGTACATTTAGAAACTTCTTTCGTTATTTAAAGTTACGACGAATAACAAGAAAAAGGTATAGTAATCGACAGTATTGTATAGAAGCGACTTTACAATGGTTGAGCGGATTTTACACCTTGGACAGAGCAGTCATTGGAATACTATGTAGATCACCTAAAACCGTAAGACAAAAAATATTAAGCATAATAGAAATCA